AATCGAATCACTATAACAGAAATTTAAAAATTTTTTTGAAAACCTAATAGATTTTGAGGTACCAAATAATCATTTGAGTTGAAAGAGGTAATTTCTATGCTCAATAAATCGATACAAATAATCGACCTCTCAAGTTTAACTCTTAAAAGAGTTAAAAAACGTGAAATAAATTATTAATTGAAAGCGATTTCTGCGAAAAATAATTTCAGGATTACGTCCATCAAAACTGAAGACAAATTTTGATTTTTTTAGTCGTATTGTTGACATCGTGCTGGGATATTTTGCATAATGCATTGCCTTTTCTGCTTGAATGTGTGCTTATTTGCTTCTCAGCTTATTATTTCTTAATGCTTTATTCTATTTATAAAAATATCAAATATGGCAAATATCGAAATTTCAACAATTAATCATTGCAGTAGCGATACTCATTCCCCATGCATGGAAGTTTTTCAGAGTGTTTGGACCTTTTTATGTCCTTTTCGAGACTCGATATTTAAGCACCGCTATAACTAATATATTTTTGCCAGTGTACCGCTATAGGTACCCCAATCGGAGAATGGAAGTGGAAATCTATTGGCGGAAGGCATTTGGGAAATGTGGTAGATGAACAACGACTTCAGTAAATTTTCGTAAAGTGATTTTTGCAACGTTTGGTCAAGCGATACCGTGCAGAATGGTGGAAATTTTTCTGTTGACAAGTTGCTAGCTGCCATGTAATTTCTGGTAAACTATTTCCAATTCTTCGATTCTTTTACTCCACGGTAATTATTGCAGCTGTTTGAGAAGCTATAGAAAACCAGTCCTGCACCACACCACTAAGCAGTAAGCCTTCTTTAAATTTGAGCGATGATCAGGCATGGAGCATCGGGCCTGAGCCTCAGCTTAATACCAAGCCTATCCGATCGGTGCGCTAAACTCTTCATGTTTCCAAAAGAACCCATTTTTCGTCATAAGTAAAAAAACTATTCAAGAAAATGATCATTTTTACATTGTATTAGCATTGAACGACAAACCTCCAAATGTTTTTTCATCTGATGCTCAATCAATTCGTGGAATACCTTTTTCTTCTTCCACCATTTCTTTGAATCTACTTATAGAACCACACAGTTAGAAGATTTTTCAAGATATTTTTCCCGACTCGCACTGCACGAAGCATTTTTCATTCCTCTTTCATTGGGAAAATTGTCAGCAAGATTTTGTCAACGGACATTATCGGATGCGAAGTACCACAATTCAGGTAATTTTATTTTATATCAAATATATAAATAAGCAACAAAAAATATGCTGAAAGAAGACTTATAAAAAATTTTTGTCGTATTTAATTTTTATCTATTTTTTGTTTGTTTTGAAAACTTTCACATTCACCTCACTCACGCAGCATCAGAAATCGAAAAAGCCGTTCCTTTTTGCACTTTAAAATGATAAGGAAAAACTTAGAGCTAACAATCGTCCTCTATTTTTTGTTTTTTCCATCTCATTGCAAATGGCAATTATAATTCAAATTTCTCCCTTAATCTTCACTAATTTATAGCAGTTTTGTAAGCGCAAATGCGAATGCATTCTCGACCTCCGCTTTAATTTATTGTCATTCTTCTTGTTTGACTGCTGCAGCCGACATCGATATAAATTTTTAATGGTCCAGAAATGTGGGCTCTTTATCATCATTTCTTTATCGTTATTTTAATATGTATATTATTAGCATTATATTAATATATATTACATTGTTCATATTAATATTTATATTTCATATGTTGTTATTACTATTACTATTGTAAACATTATTTTATGTTATTATATGATTAATTCAATTTAATTACCCAAATTTAAGGGAGAAATAAACCGTTTGTTCATTTGTGTTATCTAATTGCTCATATACATCAAAATGAGAAATCGTCGATGTGGTTGCTGAGATCAACCAATATGAATTAACATACCTATTTTTTACAGTGATGGGTGCCATCGAAATGATAGCGAATATGCGATGTACCAGCCAAAGTGGTACCACAACAAAGAATGCGATCTAAAAGGCAGATACCAAAAGTGCCGCCAGTTATCTAAAGACTTAATAATATTCAATAAGAGTTTTCCGCATTGCAATCGCAATCGCATTTTTGCTTCTAAATTTTTCCTTGAATTCTTTTTTTTAATTTCTGAATTTTTGGAAGCAAATTTTTAATTTTTCTTTCTATAAAAATAGTGGAAATGTTTTCATATTTTTATTTAAATGATATGCAGTCAAATGAATATGTGTAAATAAAATAAAAAATTAAATTTTTGGAAAACGCAAAAAAATGCCAAAATTTCCTTTTTTCCTGAATAAATCAAATTTAAGTACCTAATTCATTAGATAACAAAAATATTTCTTTTTCTTATACTTTTAGACATTTTCATTTTTTCACGTCGATTGGTTCCATTAATTTGTCGAACTTAAGTGGCGTAGTGTTTCATTTTTTATAGAAATTTCGGTAAAAACCACAAAACAAACGAAGGAATGCTGCTCATTCGAAGTGATATGCGACTCAGCACGAGTCACGCAATAACTGAACTGACTGAAAAGAAGAAAAATGCACAGAGATTAGCTTTCATGCTCATAGGTGAAAGAATGTATTGGAAAGAATGTAAAGAATGAAATAAACGACATTCAATCGGCACTGATTAAATGATAAGTGATAAGAAATTCTATATATGTTCGAATATGAAAAAAAGCACAAATAACAACGAAAATAAGAAAAAACGAAACAAAACTTGAAAATTATTTCACCAAATTAACAATTTTTAAGGATTAATATGAAGTCTGAATAAGAATGCGAAAGAATCTAAAATTCAATGAATAAGAAATGAAAGATGAAAATGAAATTAAATAAATTAATAATACCCATATAAAAGACGTTGTTTATATTACCATCATTTGAAATTAAAGAATAAAATTGTTGCGAGCCATGGATACTACTTTTTTCCTTTTGCTGATAGAATGTTCTCTCTCGGTTCCTCTGGCTAGAGAAAGGTGAGGATTTTTGGCCAGAGAGAATCACCTGAGAGGACAGGAGCACCTTAACAAAAAGCTTGAAAATTGACATCGAAAAACCTTCCTAATTTATAAAATACACTTTTTATAAATTAAAGCATTACTCGTAGCAAAAAATGGCCTTCAAAACAGTGAAAATTTCGTTTAGAAACAAGAAAATCCTCGATTTAAAATCTGCATGAAATTAAGCCAAATTCAGCCAGCAAGCACCACTAAGAAAGAAAAGAACTTCGGAAAACTATTCCAATAATTCAACGCTTTTTAATCCCAATTAGATTTTTTTACAATCTCAATAAATTTACACCGCTGTCATAGAAATATCGCAATGATTTAAAAAATAACGAATGAAACGCGGGCAAAAAACCCAAAATTTCCGAAAAAATGGCCTTCAAGGCGATAGTTTGAGGCTTAAAAGACTCAAGCTGGCTCTGAGGCTCCATCGCAGCAACGGCCCAACCAAAAATGCCATTAACTTTTCGAAAAAAATAGGATCTACATAATGGAATTCAAATTGAAAATTCTTTAGTAAATTTAAGAGACATTAAAAATTTAAAATTTTTTGATGGATTTCAAAAATTTTCTTAGTTTTATTTTATGAAAAATCCACGAAAATTTCAACAAAAAATAGTTTGAAAAGAGGAAAAACAAACAATTAATACAAAAATATGGAAAAAACCACAAATTAATCAATACTTTTCCTAAAAATGATTAGCAAAATCAGCGAAACATTACAAAAATTTCCTTAAATATTTGGTAATTGCAAAAAAGGATAAATTAAAGTGGCAATTCTAAAAATGCAAATTGGCAAAATATTTAAAATGCTGCAAGAGCAAAGAAAATGGTACTATCCTAATAATGCAAAATGCTATTATTAATTGAATAATTAATTATTCACTACTGTTTACTATTGCTATTGATTAAACGATATATTTATCATTTATTAACTATACCGTTTCCAGCGGAATGTGCTCAAATTCTTTCAGAACCTTCGATAGGAGTAAACTTATCATTAAGAACAGAACCCTCAACGGGAGTACACCTATCATTAAGAACACCGAATGGCACCAACGACCAAAAGTGATTCTTCGACTAATAACACTCGTAAAAATCAACATTTAAAATATTTCCTTAATTATTTCAAATGTACAAATATTTGTTTGTAATTTTTTTTTATTTGCACAGAACTGGAGAAATCTGACGCTTATTTTATTGTATTTGCATCTTAAAATCCTGTTAAATGCCCCTCTCGCAGCATTATTTCTTTTTCTTATCTATTGATGAAATTATACGATTTTTCTGTAAAAAATTCCCCGCTGTCACGATGAATTTACAATTTGATATTAAGTTACCAGCTATAATTTTATATAAATTGTAATTTATATAATTTACTTGATTGAAAAAGAAAGGATAATACAATATTACAAGAGAGTTTAACTCAACCCTTCATAAAATAAAATTTGAAAAGAACAGGTCTTTTAGCTAAGTAATCTTAATATCAATATTGCATTCACTATAAATTTTAAAAATATAAACATAAATAAAAAAAGCTGTTAATATTTAATAGTTGAATTTAACATTGAATATATAAACACAAACACAAAATTATTTTATATGAACTAATTAATCTAAAATAAATAAGTTGAAATACCATCTAAAATTTTAACATGAGTTGAAAATGAGAACATGAGTTTAATGTTAATGATTTTTTGCTTAAGGCAGTAAAACTCTTTTAACATCCATGAATCCATGAAACTTTATAAACAAGAAGTTCACAATATTAGTAGAGATATTAAGTGAATTAATGCGAAAAAGATTGAAGGACTTTGAAACTTATTCAGAACTGTGAATAGCAATAGTGAATTTCGAACAAATTAATTTATTTTAAATTAATTTAAAGGAATCGCGAATGTTTATGAAATTTTATGCGAAGCTTCACTATATGGCTTTGATATATGGTATATATGGTTTTGATAGATTATTCTTTACCAGCTGATGTTTTCCATGCAATAATCTGTTTATCAAATCCACAAGTTATGAGATCATTTATAGAATGTTCATCGACCCATGCAGCAGCACAAACAATCCTTCTGTGGCTCTAAATTAAATGAAAATTATTTTGAAAAAAAGTCTTCTGAACATATTATCAATCAATCTCAAAAAGTTCTTCCACTCTTTTTGTGTCAGAAATTATAGCTGAATTACAAGAGAATTTAATCAGGCATATTGAAAACATTATTGAATCGAAACTATATAATATGCATAAGAAAAAACTTGCTCGTCCATTTGCACGAGGAATTCGAGTTAATCTGAAATTGTTCAGATCACAGATACGAATATTTCGATTATCATGAGGTATTGCAACAAGATTTTTTGAAGATATTGCCAATCGATTAGCAGCACTATCCAAACGAACACTTGCAATTGCACTTCGCATATTACGCAAATCCCATACCCAAAATGAATCCATTAATATAAAAAAGCAAATCAAATTCATTTGAACAAATATTTATTAATGAAAATCGCTAATTATTGAAATAAAAAAACATATCGATTTCTAAAGTTAAATATTACTCATACTACTGCTGAATCGATTATAATGCTTCAGAAACAAAAAATAATCCTTAAACCTACAAGACGAGAAAAAAAAAACACACTTTAATTGAACGATCATCACTTCCAGAAACAAGTTTATCATTCGGAGAAAATATAACTGATGTGATGGAGCTAAAACAATGTTCATAAAGAAATATGAAATAAAGAGAATAGAGTATTTAGAATGCGAATGGTAAACCAAATAGTAGACAAAAAATAAAACTCAGAATACCGAAAACAGAATATGAGAAAATTTTTTGAAAAATTTAAGAAAATTTAAGATGCAAAAAATTATTTCAAAAAATATATATTCTCTAACAAATTATCTTTGTAAAAAAAAAGCTCGAAAACTTACTCAGTGTGACCTTGAAATACGGCAACTGACTGTATTGGTTCACGAAAATCCCATAATCGGAATGTTGAATCGCGACTAGATGTGGTTACAAGTTTTTGTGACATATGAGTGCTACAGTGATTAAGCTCTTCGTCATGACCTAAAAGTTTTCATCATGGAAAGAAAAAAACTAAACGAGAAATAAAGCAGAGAAAAAAATATGAGAATTCAAATACGATATCACCAGATAAAACACTAAGTATTTCTCCTCTTTCAGCGTCATAAATATTAGCAGTACGATCCCAACTAGCCGTAATTAGCTGATCACCACCGGCTAACCATGCAACTGATATCACCACACCAGTATGCCCAGTTAAACGACATAATGGCTGTCGCACGATTGCTTTCGCACTCAACTCACTGTCTACAAAAGAAACTTTCAAAAAAGAGATTCATCTTAATAATGAACATTTTAAATAAAAAAAGATCGTCGAGCAGACCATGCGACTTAAAATGATTTTATATTATTCGAATAAAATAATACAAATCATCATATTGAAAAAGAATAATAATCAATTGAAAATAAAGAATGATATCAAAGTGTCTATTAAATGATAAACATTCTACTTTTGGATAGGTTTAGAAATTAAAATTATGAGATCAAAAACACCTATATTCTCTATATTGCTTTCAGTCTGATCACGATTCGTTGTTTCAACGTCTTCATCACTACTTACGCCCTGATACTGTCCACTACCTGCGAATTTGCAACAGATATATCTCGCAATTTGCGACAAAAAATTCATAATTTTTAATTATTAAAGAATTTGAGTATTTTGACATGAAAAATAACGAATGATCAACCAAAGGCGAACCAAGAATATTTGCTTTCCATATATGAGTAGTTTGATCACCACTTGCAGTGGCCATCAGTGCATCGCTAGAATCAATAAATGCTGGACTAAAAGAAACACCATTAACCGATCCAGAATGACCGAAATATTGCGCAATGCAAGATCCAGAGTCCAGCGACCACAAAAGACACGTTTGATCTAAAAAGAATAAATAAAAAATAAGTTAAAATTTCATGATTCTATGAAAATGCCTAAGCTAAAAAAAATAAAAAAAAGTGAAACCAGCTGAAGCACTGGCTAAAATAGCAGAAGGTGTTCGAGAAGTAGCAATATCCCATATACCATCTCTATGTCCACTAAAACAACGAACATACTTGATACGACGAGAATTGTCACTTACGCCAACTTTGAGACTTTGTACTATACGACCAGGAGGTACTTTCAATGCTGTTTTCAATTTTTTTCGCATCTGAACTGCTGAAACAATCATGCCTATATTAATTTTCAAAATTAAAAACTAGCGAATAAGAAAATCTGGAAAAGTGAATCAAAAAAATTAAATTATAAATAAAAGTTGATTTATTAAACTGATTTTTTTTGAAAACAAATTACTTTTTCGCCCAGTTTCCTTTCGTGCTATTACTGATTCATTAGTCATAGTAAAAAGTTCTGGGTTAATAGCAACTGATTCGCCGAATCGTTCCGTAAGCTGATTAAGCTTTGCCTGCACTAAAACCACATTTATTTTTATGATAAATTTATTAATTTACAAATTCCAGTTTAATTTTATTTTATATATTTGTGATTATCAACATTTTTATTATTATAATTGGATAATAGATTCGAATATAAGAAAAATAAATTTAAGCACAACACTAATATGTGAAACAATTTTACCATATGACAAAGCAATATGAAGAATGCATCGAATGCACATGGTTAGAATGGGAAAAAATTTAAAAAATTATAGCTGAATGTGGAATTCCAAAGATTTTTCTAGCGTATAGAGTTTTCTTCTTCTTCTAACAGCTCTCAACATTACTGGTTAGGCTGGCTCCACTAGCTAACAATTAGACATTTCAAGTTGCGCTAATCGATAGTAAAAAAAAATCCATTCCTTTTTCCATCGTCAAAGTCCATATATCGCTGGTCCGCCTATATGTTCAAAATCTTTCCTGACTATATAAGTCCAGGCCTTGATTGGCTCACCTGGCTTTTGATGCCACTCATCAAACGGTTTAGCAAGTAACGAAATATGTGTCAACTCTTGTGGTGGGCGACGAAAAACGTCCAATCAATGAAGGCCGCGATCTGTGATTGTAGCATGAACACATGTGGGAGATGGAGAAGGTGGATGCAATCATAAGATTTTATTCGCTCGGCGAATCTTCAAAATACGTCTTCGAGTGGTTAAAGATAGATAACTTCTTAATATCCTCCACTCTAATCAGCCACGTTTCATAGCCATATAGCAAAATAGAGCGAATTCCAACTAAATGGATTTGAACTATATGGAACTATATGGATGGAACTATATGGACTTTCGTCTTTATGGTGATTACGCGATAGCTTTATTAACAACTGGAAGAAGGCATTTCTATCATTATCTGAATTATCAATTCGTCTTTCGCTTGGCCTAAGTTTGAGTGGGTCTAAGATATGTAAAGCCCTTAACCAGCAATGAATTTATAAATAGATGCATTTTATTAGTATATAAGACGAAAAGAATTTTTTTTACATTGACCATAAATCCGATTTTTCACTGCATATGACAAATGTTGACACGTTGTTTAGTATTATTTGCATTTTTTCATAATTATATTATCAGCGTGTTCAAGCTCCCTGATATGGTGCTTTGGACTGATTTGTCCGCTTGAGCAGAGAATCAATTTAAACAAAGAAGACTAACATTCACAATTTTCAGCGTGCACTGCATCGAATTCTTTCTCGATCCTTTCAAACAACTGGTATAAACGTGCTCTAAATTTCAAGAAATTTATTTGCCATAAATTATCATTATTACCTTTTATTATTAATATTATTAATTATTAGTTATTTATTTACTTTTATTATTAATTGCTTGCTGCAATTTCGAATATAATTCAGTATTAATCAAATATTCATTTACTATTTGTTATTATAATTCTATTATTATTAATTCTTATTAAAGTTATTGTTGCTTATTAACTTTTCATTTAATTTTTATATTATTTCATTATGCTAATATTTAATATCATTTCTCACTATCACCTATTTATTTAAAAAAAATCAAACACAGCAACAGCAGAGAACGAGCTGATAAATGAAAAAATATAAAATAATAAAGAACTGATCAAAAAAATAAAAATAAAACTGAAATTAATATACACTGGATCATTTTGTAAATTTTGCTTTATGATATTACCACTATTCCGCTTAATTTTTAAAGTAGATAATATGATACAGAATATGATACAGAAACTATCCAATGTTTTCTTAAAAATGTTTTTTTTTTTTGAGGTGAATTCCCAGTGAAATTTTTTTTTACGATATAAAAAGAAAAATAATAAAAAAAAGGGGCAATCATTTCATATGTTTATATAAGAGTGTCACATTATCTTCATTTAGTTGAATTCGGTGAAAATTAGTCGAGTGGCCCAATGAAATATGTAGTATCTGGCGAACATTTGCAACGTTTTATTACGAATATCATCAAATAATAAATTATAAAGCGACAGCAACAAGTAACATAGTTGATATTTTCGAAATTTGAAAATAGTGCTTTGAAATTACAAGATCTGATAAACTTTTATGATTTCCAGCACTCCATGAAGTTTATCAAAAAGACTTTGGATGAAATCACTAAAAAATAGGTCAGGTAAATAATATTCGACTATCTTCAAATCATGGAGAAGCCAGATGTTTGAGTTCCACAGCAACTAACCGAAAAGCTTCAACGATTTTCGATACGCGCTTCGCTAGAAAGCAACTATTTTTGGATATCTGGATATTAATCGTGATAAAAGTGAGTATTTGACGATAATTCTACTCAATGATTATCAGCGGCAGAAATAGCCAAAATAATTCGGCATTTCACAGAAGAAAAGTGCTAAATGTGATAATGTGATTGTGTGCATGTGGTGAGAAATAAAGAGAATTATGAACCGTTTAAATCTGGTCAAACATCTGATAACCACGCAAATAACTCAATTGCTCGAAAGAAAAGGCAATCTTCCAACAACGAAAGATCTCATACTTTAAAAAATACGCGCTAAATAATCAAACAATTGACTGGGAAATTCCATCCCATCCTCTTTATAACCGCGACCTCGCCTCTTCTTCTGATTACCATTTTTTCATATTTCACCTGGCTGAAAAAATTTTCTTTTGATGCAAAAAATGACCTTAAAGAACTTTCGTACGCAGAGGTGCAAGGCTTCTAAAACGAGCACTACAAGTATTACAACAGTGGCACAAACACATTAATACAAATGTTATCTTTATTATCTCTACTAATCATCATTGCTAATCACTGCTAATCACAATTACCACTATCATTGTAACCAATAGTATTGTTATCATTGTCATTATTTATATGAATGTTTTTGTAAGAAAAAGATGTATCCAGTGATAAAAACAGTTGATTAAAAAAAGAACTTATGAGGTGAAACATTTTCAGTATCACAACTGCCAAATGATAAATAATTATTGCCAAATTGTTCGCTATCGACGCTATTTTTTAAACGATTTTTTTCAATGCAAATATCTGTCATTCGCTGAAAAAATTAGATTAAATAATAAAATTAAAGAATAAACTTTAAAATAAAATTAAAACTAACGATTATCTTCAATTTTCTAAACGAAATATTTTTTTTTAAACGAAACAATCGAACGACAAACTGACGACCCATGTGCTGCAATCTTCACCCGCACAAGAATTTCTGGCCTTGCTGAGCCCTTAGCCTAAAGAGTCCCCGGAACCGGAAAGCCAGCGGTACCAGCCCAATGAGGAACCGTGAGCCAATACATGATTAATTCAATAAGCAAAATTTTGCAGCAATCGAATATGAAATTTCGTACCCCTGTAAGATTCGTACTATAGTTCGATACAAGATTTCATTTGTGTAATCTGCGTTCGCAGTTGCCGTTTTTTGTTTCTCAGATATTTTTTATCATCGTTTTCGTGTTGCATCAGCGAAGATGAGCCAAAAGCACGGCAAAATAGCTGACAGATTTGTCCTTTGGTCCCCGAATAAATGATAAAAAATTCGTTGGAGGGAAGAGTTCGAATAAAATATCAGCACTTTTTAAGTTAAAACGACTGTTATTCAATTCACGACTGTTTCACTGGATCAAAAATTCTTTAATAAAAGCGAAAGCTGCAAATATAAGGATTTGAGTTGTACAGTGTCGTGAAAATGTGTCACAGAGCAGCAGCTTATCAGTTATTTTATCAAAGTGATGCAAATTAAATTTTTACGTTTAATTTACATAAATTTAAAATAAATAAATAAGTATTTAGTCATTTATATGTAATCAAATATATAAATATATTTGAAATAAATTTGTAATCATAAAAAGTTGAAAATGTAATGAAAAATAAAAAAGCATGTGAAAACAAATCGTGCAATTTTTGTTGTGGAAAGCGGAAATTTTTTCTATCTGTGCAGGTGCATATTTTTTTAAGAGTTCTTACCATTACTGGTTAAACTCCATTCGCTCCACTGGCTTGTCGCATTGGACAAATGTGTCAGGGAGTCCCCTGGCGATAGAAATACAGGCGAGTCGCCAGCATTACCCGGATTTTTGCACAGGTTCACTCCTGCAGAGAACCGAACCTCAGCATTGACGCTCCCGACTGAGCAACAACTCCCTGAGCCATTGTATCCCAAAAAAAATTTGGAACGCTTCACGAATTTGCGTGCATGCAGGTGTACATTTATTTATATGTAGCGACTTATCTTTGCAAGATGAATTTCTATGGCTAAAAGCCTTGGTTTGCTTTATATTGGAACGAATACTTTCCGCCAGAGCTAAATGAATAGTTCGGACTTCATTTTTAATGGCAAAGTTGTATCTAAATCAAAGGATATGGAAGAAAACCGATGTCCACAGAAGAAGAAGAAGAAATTTACTATACTACTCGAGCACGGCTCTAAAATCTGCAAATACGCTGAGCAGCATTATAGAGGGCGAATGCCTCTTTTTACCACTTATGCACTTTCATATTTGATGTAAACCGAAAATGAAGCAGAATAGATAAGCGGCGTGATTGCTATGTCGATAGACGCAATTCCACGAAGACTTTCACCATAGAGATGGTACATTTACTTGATTACAAATATGGCGGAAATAATGACGAGGACGGGCAAAGCCGAAAAAATTCATTGGCTCATGCATACGCGCTCTTATGCAAAAGGCTTGCCTTATATACCTTAGATGTGACAACAGTAATAAGCGGGGAGAGAGAGATTGCTTTTATAAGAAGGAAATAACCATGATAAATGCCGATGTCATTTGCCTCGATTAACCGATACAACAGTAAGATTAAAACGAAATACACAAACATGTGGCATGCCAAAGACGGCGTCCATATGACCAAAAAGTTGAACCGAAAGGTCCAACCATCAAGCACTAGAGAAGAAAAAAATGACCGATACAATTCAAGATAAATGGACAGAAAGTACTTGGCTAGCGAATGCATAGATAAAATTCATTCAGTTGTTCCAAAACTTGCAAATTGAAAAACTGGCGAGTTCTTTTTTTGGAAACATTACTTGCAGGCAATAAATTGTCTTATGCGTGGAAGGTAAATAAAACGCATTTGAAACGCATGATCTTTTTAATAAGTTATCACCAATAATTATAAAAATTGAGCATATATATACGCTAAATATTAATACTCTTCTCTCTTATAATAACCCTTATTATGATTTGCAAAACAAGAAAAAGAACACATTCGAACAGATATGAATCAAACAAATTTTTGAAGAATGCCAATTTACTACAAAAAGAAAATAAGAGATATTTATTTTTATGTACATTTTCCTATAAATTTTCATTTCACATTGGCTTGAGTTTTCCTCGATAACAAATCTTTTATTGGCTCAAATGACGGAACCGAACTAAATTTGAATTGATCGATCTGCAAAAATATTAATTTAACATCGAAATACTCCCAAATATTATTGAATATTTATTACAAATTTGGAAAATGTCGATAGTGGAAGATGTGGGTCGCCAGCATCACTCGAATTTTTCCAACAAGTTTATCCCAACGCGGAAGAGAGGCGGTCCAATCTGAGCAACAACCACTATCCCAAATATTATTGAATATTTATTATAAATTTGGAAAATATGAGATGAATTTTATATGAGAAAATCAAATAACCTGTGAGATGCTTGCATTCAACGAGGATATATCAAAAGAGTAGCCAATATTGGTGGGAATATTCATTCGACTAGCGGGGCTTAAAATCTCATCAACTTTCGCGTAGATCAAATCATTCAAGGCAGAATCATAAAATGTATTCTTCCCATGCATTAAACGACTTCGATTCGAACCATTTCTTTGGTCGAAAATCTGAAGTAACATTGATTAGAAGACTACTATCTTTTGCGGTCTTTTTCTTATTCATCCTACAATTGCTAGCACTATTATTTTCATTTCACTGACACCAAAAGGTAAGGTATTCCCAAGTATTTCGATCCAAGTCTGAAAAAACATGTTCAAAAAGACTTTTTAAAGTCGGTCCGTTTCCAGTTTTCTTGTCCGCTGGACTATTATCCTCCTCTGAGCCGTTAACAATATCAGAATTTTCTTCTTTTCTTTTCTTAGTCCATTGGTTTCTGCCAACTAACTTTTTTGCTTTCTTTTTTATGGGTGCAGCTTTATTATATATAATTTATTATCTTCTCTGCTAATTGGCTCCAAGGCTATTATGAGGACTATTATAAAAATAGAAAATGAATCGAACCAGCAGTTCACCTGTTCAACTGAGGATCGATCAATCTTCGATCAGTTAAAGAATTGTGTGTCGAAGCTTAGTGGCATGTCAAAACAGTTTGCAGAAGGATTCAAAGATTATGGCACCCACAAAGAAAATTTTTACTAAAAAGAAAGAAGAAGTACCAATGGAGTATAAAAGACACGAAAGAAACTTCTGATGTCGTTAAATGGCTCAATGAAGGAAGTAAAAGCTTCGCGGAGCCCAAAAAAGTGAAAACTCAAAAGACCCCAAAAATAAATAGCCTTTTTTCTTTTGCGACACCACTGGCATTTACTTCATATATATAAATCGCTTGAAAATAATAGAAGCCAGTTCCTCCCCACACTGGCTAGATTTATACTCTGGTTATGCATTTAAAATCTATCCTAACCATAATCCAGGTCTTGGTTAGTCCCTTCACTTTTGACCTTGTTTATCACACAGTTTACGTATACTTTTGTTCCTTTAGCAAATAATATAATCTAACATCGACATACTATTTTTTTTGATTTTTAATAAATGCTGCCGGATGATGGAGAATGCAAAAGGTACTTTTTGTGGTCGGCAAGCCATTTTTTAATTCAACTTTAATTCTTTAATTTAAATAGCATGAAAAATTAAAAGAAAGAAAATATATCTGTTGCGAGAGGATTCGCTAGCGGACAAGGACAGCTAATTAGCCAGAAAGGACTTCCACTGTATGAAAAATATAATTAAAAAATCAATTTCTTTTATTAGTCTTTTATTTTTAATTGATCTACGAAAGTATTTTGCTTGCAATCACCTTAAAAGTTTTACTCTGATTTGCTTTTACTTCCTTTTACTTCTTTCTAGTTTTTACTCTTTGTTACATATCAGATATAAATCAATTGCCTTGAATGAAAATTTATTGGAGCTGGTATTTATAATATAAATATAAATATATATATATATATTTATGAGAAGACCACCGAATCTAAGTATCGGAGCACACAAATTCTAAATCCGGCTATACTCGTCGCAGGAGGGTGAAAAACAAACCGAAATACACAAAATTTATAGCTGAAAAGCATCTATAAATACCATAGGATACCAAATCAGAGAAAGGATTAATAATCAAATGCAAAACTTAACAGTTACGCGACAACTCTACGAAATTTATCGACCATTTGGACGAGGTTTTTGGGTTTTTTAATTTTTTCGTAATGAATGGGCATATATTTATCAAAGTTTAAATATAAAATTTAGCTAACACAATTTTGAATTTATCAAAATTTAACAAATTTAACTAATGTAACTCGACAATTTGATTCCGATTCTACCAATTTTAAATTTGCGCGACCTATTATACTTCAAAAAATCCACATGGCAAGAAAAGATAAGTTTGCAATAGGCGGAAGATATTATTCAAATCTGATTTCCATAGTCCTATATTAATCAAAAGATATTCATTCTAAATGGTTCTTGAACCAGAATGTGTTTTAATACTAACCGTATTATGAGTAACACCGATCTGAGTCAAGTAATCAGTAACAGAAGATGTGATAGATACATCGTCTGGATCGATTCCAGAATCAGGCATCGATTGTGGTGCTGATCTACCGTTTAAGAGTTGGCCGTTGAATCTAAATTCAGCGATAAATTTTCTTTATTTTGTAGAATCGCATATATGGCCCATTTTCATCGAGCAGATAAAAATTTATAGGACCAAATTTTTTTCTAGATGAAAAAACTAACTTTGGCTGCGTCGATCCAGAGCCTGCACTGTATCGACTTATCGATGACGATGATGACGATGATGCTATCTGAAACTGAACTATATTTGCAGGATTAAACTATTTGCTCAATGAAAGTTTCATAGGTCACTTTATTTGCAGAAGACTAAATTCATGAGCCAACCTTAGTTACTGGTATTTTCGGTAAAGGAATTCTTTGCTTGTCGTATTGAAAAGAAGGTGAATATCGGCTTAAATCTGCCATTACGGCTGTATTACCCTTACTGACGCTGTAGATCTAAAAATACTTTAATATAAAGTTAGCTTTATTGATTCATATGTTGATTCAACCGTAAAAGTGAACAAAGACGTGAAAAAAGTGAACAAAACAAAGATGAAAGGGAGAATACACAAATTAATCGAGCAAAAATTATCTAAAAATAATGGATGGAAGAATAATTACCTGTTTTTTTATTGCAGTATGGCTTCTCATGCGCATCCACATTTTTATAACAAACATAATAAGTATGCTTAGAAGGATGAGCAATGAGAGGAGCATGAGCATTATTGTATAGGGAGACTTCGAAGGCGATAAATATGCTGTTGATTCCACGAACTGAAATAATAAACATAGATTAGGAAAGAATATTGTAAAGTTTCGATAATGAGATGAAAAATGGAAGTGGCCAAGCATCGAACTTTATTACCTTTACAGTCACCTTAACTCGGGAATGTTGTGATACTCCAGAGCTTGCCACTATATGGAATTCATCGACCGTCAAATTCTTTTCTTTCGCTCTAAAAATTTTGCATCCTTGTGTAATGCGATATTTGTGATAATGTAATGCCCAGAAGGTTAACACAAAAACCGAGCATAATGATTGTTTTCAAATAATTTAAATAAAAAATAAATTTATTTTCCAAATCAGTTATCAGTCGCTATTGGTGCTACTTCAAGTATAAGATTTTCAAGTACTCTCTGGCAAATCGATCTCATCTTAATAGCCAACATAATTAAGCCAACCGGAAATGATGAGTGCTTTTACGAGAGCAAGAATTAACTATGATTTATGATGATTTAAATTAACTATGATTTATGATGATTTAAATTTCAATTTGCATCATATCTTATAAATATTCAAAGAATACTGGATCTTTCACAGGATTACCAACTTTCCCCCTTTCCATTAGGCAGACTATTTGAAAATATGGAAATTGTGAAACAAAATATTAATCCACACATTTCAGCCAACTCCTTTTTCAAGATTAACTGGCCAGTGTCCGAATCGATGGTCAGATATCGCATAGCATCGCCTTCAATCGCATACCGTATAATGCCATCTAATCCCGAATCTTGATCAGTTGCCATTAAGACGCCTATTCGTTGCCCAACTTTGGTGGTGATAGGTGCCTACAATTTCAGTTTTTTTCATTCTATTGTTGTCATATATTGTTAGAGAAAGAACGAATCTATTGCACATCTAATGGTCTAATAATATATTTCATACCTCAAAAATATAACTGGATTTCATGAACACAGGTGGAAATTCATCGATGCCAAGGACAAAAATTTCAACAGGCACAACCGCAGACCTGCTCGTATTATCACTAACTATAAGTGAAAATGAATAGCTACTGCGGTTTTCATAATCAAATTGCTTCCTTATTAAAATATCACCTGTTGTTTCGTTACAAACGAATATCTGAAAACAACTTAATCACCAGACTTAATCACCTTTTATTGTAGATCTCCAATCTCCAATCTTATTTTTTTCTTTTTCATTTTTACGAATTTTCACGAAAATTCCATTTCCTTTGTTGGCTTTATTTGAAATTTTAAGCAAATTTCTAATATATTAATAGAGAAGCATTTATCTAGAAAAAGAACATTAAATAAAGAAAGCAAAGTTCAGTCCATAAGCACCTCATCATTATCTCGGAGTCTATACTTCCAGTCCATTTCCGATCGACCAATGCGATTGCTAGCCCTGATTTTAAGGATCACTTCATCCGCAAGTTGATTCTCTGGAACACTTTTTTGGTACTGTGGAACAACAAAGAATGGTGCAGTGGCTGAAAAAATATCATTATCCACCACAACAATGATACGTGTCCAGTTCCATTTGCTTATTCGACCATTATCACTTGCAATAATAATCAATTCCTCATGATCATCCTCAATAACTTCATCATTCCACTTAGTGAAAATCAAAACTCCAGAAGTCGCATCCAGTTTAAATATTTGGTGGTCATTTCCCGAAAGAATATAGTATGATAATTCACCATTTTCACCAGAATCTCGATCACTTGCAATAATCCTTAAAAATTTACTTATTATCCAGCTTTCAAATATCCTTTTCAAATATGAATTTAAAAAATATTGACTTTTTGTGCATTAATTTCATTTCCTTGCAGTTTTTTGCAGTTTCTAAATCTGAAAGGTATTCATTCGTCAGTTGATTCTCTGGAACTTTTTTTGGCATCGTTGCATGTAAAACCATTATTCGAATAGGCTCTGGTTTTTTCCTATGATTTACAATGTGCCTTTTTTTGTGGAATTTACCTGGTTAATATTTCGCCGGGTTTTATATCCTCATTGATTGTAATTCGTATATCTCTGGATAAAAATACTGGCGGATTATCATTAACATCTGTTACTTCAATAAAAACTATCGCTGAGTCGTTTAATGAAAATGTGTTCGATAATATTTCGATCTAAAAATTTCTGGAGAATTAAATTGGCTGAAAAATTTTCAGTTTAAAAATTATGCGTATATTCATCCTGAAATTTGTTTTCATTCGTTTTATGTAATTTATGTAATTTACAATCAAAAAAAATTCACCGTAAAATTATATTCACTCTTTTCTTCCCTATCTATTGGCTTTTTGAGCGATAATTGACCAAAATGATCGATCCGGAAGATATTTCTAGCTTCTAGTTCCAGTATTCGGAAATTCACTTTAAAATTTGTCATTTGCTTAACAGATATCTGCCCAAATGGAAGATTTATTTCCAAATCTTCTCTTATTGAGAAACTGAAAATAACTTCTCGCAAATTAAACCAAAAAATAGGAAATTAAATCAAATTTAAAGCGATTGAACAGTATATAGCTTCTAATAAAAGCCAGCATTACAATGAAATCACAGTTGTTGTCGCGGAAAGGCGAAAAAAGCTGTAAATTTGAGCAAATCATCCGGATTTCAGCCCATCTTAAATTAAATATAAGCTCCCTAAAGATCAATCTTGTGTTTTTATTAAAAAAAAATGAGTGGGGAAGCGGTTGGTGAGTGATGGGCATTTAGATTTTATATTTGATTTATTTATTGTATTATTTCTATTGTAGGACAATTACTTTGTTTTATTCTCTTGTATATATTTCTATCTTTATTAATAAAGGTTTAATTATCCAAGTTTGAGGTTCGCAACGAGAAAAGTAAGAAGTAAAACGCTGGCCTCATTGTTTTATAATATCAATAAGAAAGAAAAGTCCCGCGTGGCAGAAAAGCTAAATTTATACAGAAAAAAAGATAGTGGAGCGGATTCCCAAAAGGAATTTTTGTAAAGGTAGAATATTGGAAGGGAAATCGCCGTGCTACCAACGAAAATTTCGTGCTATAAACCTTTTTCTGTACAGTTGTATTGAGAACCGACTTATCTCTGTTGCCAGGTCTCTCTGAGCGCTGTAGGAACTATTAAGAAAAGAGTATTTGTTGAGAAAACTAGAGATTTAGTTCAAATTTACCTATAGGACTTTTTCTCAACTATCGATTCAATTTTAGATAGACCATCGATGAACGAAATTTTCAGTGGAACTGCACGATTTAAAGATGGTTGTCCTTTATCAAATGCTTGCACTTTAAGGAAATATATATTGTTTATGGCTCTTTTCGATAACAATTTAATCGCGCCTGAAAATTTTTAGTTGATTTTTTCAGAGCTTGAAGCTCTATTCCTTTGAAGCTCTTTGAAGATACGTTATCTTGAAGATACGTTACGAGATCTAGGTTGAATTGCAATGAATTCTGAAAAAACCTGTATTCTCATCGATATGGAAAATATTATTAGGGGTGGAAAAATTATAATATATTTCGCCACGAGGACCAGAATCAGGATCTACTGCATGAATTTTTGCGATTAGTGCACTATTATTTCCATGTGGTAAGACAACATCGTAAAAATCCTTATCGAATTTTGGACGATTATCATTTTCATCGAGAATCTCCACGACAAGAGTTGATTTTGAGATATTATCGCCATCAGAAACCTGACGAAGAAAAGAATAAAAAAAATTGAAGATTAATCTCCAAGTGAAAAAATTTAATACCATCGATCATGATAATATAGTAATTTAATTATACTTAAATATGTAACATTCACTCGAAGTAAGAAATAAGGTTTTAGGATAAGTTTCAATTTCCATTTTTTTGAACCTGAATTTCCAAGGAATAATTTTTGATTGCCTCATAATCGAGCTTTTGAAGCAAATATATTTGACCCGAATATCTATTAATCTCGAAAATTTCATAATTGTTTATTAGACTGTATTCCAATTTCGAGTCTATATCAACATCGGTTGCTCGTATTGTTGCGACCAAACTACCAATTGGTGCCACTAAAATCTTTTTTCTTAAACTTTAAAATAAGATGAGAATCTTAAAGAAATAAGCGAAAGCCAAACGATGCATTGCTTCGTACTGTGGTCAAGTACCATGGAATCGATTTCTGCCTTTCTTTGCGAAAGTAAAATTGGCATTAAAAGTGAAATCGAAGTGCTAGATATTTTGATCTCCAACAAAAAAATCTCGCTAATCAAACCAAAGCTAGCAAACATTGTTAGAAAAGAAAGAAGCAATTACGTTCAGAAATTTTTCTGGGGCGCATTGTTGGTATTAAAGGCGGATTATCATTCGTATTCAAAACTGAAAAAGGTCTATGTATAGAAAGAAAATATTTTGATAAATGAGGAAGTGGAGAATCCGAAAAATGAAAAACAACTGCTATGAAGGCTATTCAAGCGCTTATACATATATGAATCCAAACTATCTTATATTCACCTCTTATATATACTTTGGTCTCCGGAGATTGTTTATAGCTACCATTCGCAGTTATTCCTAGAGAATATTGACTCTCGATTTCTCGATCCAGCTCTTGCATTGTGGTTATTTTACCTTCACTATCAATTCCAAATGCATTATCAATATTACCACTTACGATGCTATATGCTACTGGAGCATTGCCAGATAGATGACCCGTAGTATAGACCTGAAGATTATACTTAACCATATTTGGCTTTGTTATATCATCGCTAGTAATTCACTATCTGAGTAAAAACTTCTGATATTTCAAGTTTAACCTAAGATCAAAAATATTTGGAAGAATTCCCAGTCTTCTCAGTTTGAGAGATACCAATAATAGATTAATTTATAATCATATTGTTCAAATTTTGTTTACCTGGAGAACGAATTCACCTTCAGGCCGACCTTCTTCTACCACTCCGAAATATTTTCCACTAACAAATGACGGCGGAGATTCGTATAGCTGATCAGTTATCAAAGATCGTCTCACTATCAACGGCACAGCTATTGTTGAATGTAGGACAGTTGAGGCACCGATATCTTCAGCAACAATTATCACAGAAAATTCATTTTGCATAGTTTTATGATATCTAAAGATTTCTCTGTATCAAGAATTTTTAAAGGCAACAATGCCGACCAACAAAGAATGGTGCGTTGGCTGATTTGAATGTCGATTCTCGATAGCATTACCTTGTCACTAATATTTATGCATTATACGCTTTGAGATATTTTAAAGAAGAATCATTAATTGGCGTAAAAATTATACCTAGCAAAAATGATGTCTCCAGTCTCTGAATCTATTTCCAGCATGCCACTCTGGTCTTCTTTTATTTTATATATAACTTGACCATTTTTATCCGCGTCCACATCGGTTGCTGATATTCTGTAGTTAACTTCAATTAATTTTCATATTTCCTCTGCAAATATGAGAAGAAATTTTTATGAGTGACAAAAGCAGAAACTGGAGCAAAAAAGATTACCATGTTTTAATTTACGGTTAAATTTTTTCACTCCATCAAACCTGAACTTTAGGGTTCTTGAATAGTAATATATATCTATTAACCTTGCAATTATTCCACCTATTTTCGTATTATCATCTATTTCCAAATATTCGGGAGTGTCTTTTTTGAAAACTGGCGCATTATCGTTTTCGTCAAGAACGAAGATCCTTATGGTGCAAGTATCCTGAAGAATGATATATCATTTATTTGTGGTTGAATTAACAAAAAATGCAAAAGAATTACGGCTTTTATCGGATTTCCCTTATCCTCTGCTGTTATAACGAGAAAATATTCCGATTTTTGCTCTCGATCAAGTTTTTCACAAGAAATTATCCCACTAGTCGAATTTATTGAGAATGCGTTGTTCTCGTTGCCCGCTGAAGAATCCACGTTATTACAGTGCTATACTTGATTTAATTTGTTTCTTAGCCAATAAAAAATTCTGGTTAAAATAAAAATAAAGAAGGTGACAATGATAAAAAATTTAAATGCGACTTCGGTGGTAAATTTTATTATTTTATTTAATGCGTCTTCGTTGGCTAATATTTTAATATCACTTTTCAATATGCGATTATTTATTTTCTTCTTGTTTTAACAGGCAGAATTTCTGGTTTGGTTGGCTTAACTGCTGATATCAATAAACCTATTATCCGCCAGATTATAATTGCTTTCATCCGTAAGGCAACCGAATATATAAAAAGCCAACCTATAATTTTAAATTCAATAATACCATTTTCATCTTCATCATAATCAATTGCAAAAACATGTATCAGTTGATTAGTACTAATATTTTCATAAATAGATATATTGCCACATGATGACGGCATAATTCGTGGAGCATTCATGTTCCCTTTCGCCATTTTTAATTCAACTTTTGACCAATCGCTTTGATTTTTATTATTGATGGCTATCACTGAAAAATTTTTTCCAATTAAGCTGAGTAATTTAACCAAATTAGTAAATGGTTTACGTTCACTAAGTTAATCCCACTAATTAATTAGTGCGGTTAGAAATTTTTGACAAGGAACCACTTGGCCGCAGAAAGTACAGGATACACGACAATTTTATAATTATCCACTCGGTTCTTTTTTCCAAATTTATTATTATGAAATCTTATATTGAATTATTATGTAATAATACGAGAAATAAGTAAATATACTATGATACGGAAGCAATTTCCATAAAAGCTTGGAGTTAAATGGTGGACTTTGATAAGAAGACGAGACTAACTAACCACTTAACTAGATTTTAATGTTAGTTTATTATTTAAGTTAAGTTTATTGTCAGTTTATTTTTTTCGAACCGCCAGATTCGAAACCATACTCCTTATCTTCAGCCGAAGAAAATCAGGTTTTATAAATCAGGTTTTTGTTTGAAAAATTTTTAAATTCACCTATAAGACTATAAAAATCATTTGTAAGGACCGCAGATAGTTGCAATTCGCCATTAACTGAAATGTTGAAAGGTTCTATTCCACCTGCTTTATCAGAAATCAGTTGTAGATGAGGTCTTTCAAAAGCTGAAAATTTTTTGTCGAGCATCAAGCGATCAAAGTTGAAAGCCAATAATATTGAAATTTCGATATAAAAAAATTTACAATTCATGTAAAAATTATGGATGGACGAGCCGATTTTCCACTCCTTACTGATAGAAAAACTATAAATCGGGCGAATAAAGAATTTCCATAATTGATGCGTCGGATTCAAATAGACAGTAAAATTTTGCTCAGAAATTCGTGGCACATTTCCATTATCACTCGCTTGGATAATTATTGATGAATTTGACGTTAAAGAATGAAGCAGTCTCATTTCTCCTATAATATTTAATGAATATCTTGAAGATTGACTTCAAACGTTGCAGATTTTTTCCACAAAACTTACCTGTTGTAGCGTTTAAGACGAAACTGTCCTTATCTCCATCGACAATACTATAAGTGACATTATTACCATCGTCGTCATCCTTTACTACAATGTACTGTAATATTTCCGAGTTACTCCACTCTTCATCAATCGTAACACTAGATGAACTGGAATTTTAAACTCTATAAACAAAAACAAATTTGCTTATTTAAATTAAATATTCATATAATATTAAGTGGTACCTTTTAAACTGTGGACTGTGATTATTTATATCATTGATATCAATAAACAGAGCACATGTAGAAATCTTGGATGGCATAGATTCTATTTGACGATTCTCCGCTTCGACTGCCAAGAATATAGATTTTTTCTGAAAAAAAAGATGAAAAATACTTGAAATTAAAGTTCAAACATAAAGAAGCTTGTGGAATTTAATTATTTTCTGAGAGCGAGCAATAGTTTCAATAAATAGAAAAAAATAAGCTAAATAATAAAAAACATGCAAATCCTAAAAGATTAAAAAAGCAGAATTGATGAAGGATGGAAAAGCTAGTTCAAAGGCAAAAATAAATATTGCGCTGATAATTTAGGAAATTTTTTTTCTACGAACGCCCAGCACTTTTGGCTAACTAAGACTTGGACCAAACAAATTTTGTCACGGTTTCATGGAGGCGTATAGGTGAATGGCCAGCATCATCTGGATTCTGTAAAGATTTTGAGATGTTTACTCCTGCCTAGAGGCCCACTATCAGCGCTCCGAAACGACAACAACAACAACGCGCTAAGCAATTCTAATACTACAAGAGATAAAAAGTTGTCTTCTATCTAATATATATAAATAATGAATCTCAAAACCTCAATCCATTTATCTATTCTGAACAACCATACCCAAATTTTGAAGACCACTTTATGGAATTAGACTTCTCTAACAAGATTTGTTAAGATAAAAAAGTTGATGAAAATTTATTTATATTGTGATATATTGTTACCATTGAATTCCATTTTATGACTTTACGAGTAGAGATTTCGCCTGATTCTTGATCTATGGCAAACAACCTTGAAGGATCGTTGATCTTATAAAGAAAGGGTCCGTCATTTCCATCATGAGCATATCTGGCCTTCACTTTCGCAATTTTTGAGCCTTAATGAGATAATTCATGAATAAAATCAGTTAAATCGCTTAATCGCTTGTTAAGGAATTGCAGTCTAAGGCTTAAATCTCACATTTACCCATTGCTGAGATCGTTACTCATATTTTATTGTATATCAAAAAAGTGGTGAAGAATTTAGCATGTGAACAATCACCGTAGACTAAATGCTTTTGTATTATCCTAAATATTTTCATCCGATGGCAATATTCATACCTATCGAGATGTTCTCGTCGATTGTTATTTTCATCGGACAGCCTTTGAATTTGGGTCTTCGAAAATTTCCAACTTCAATTTCGATATGAATTGTGAATCGCTCAGTCGCGTAATCAGGAACCACCATTCGAGTCAAGCTAAGAGTATAAAATAATTGGTTTGAATTGGCAAAACTTGACACCAAGTAGAGTTCCGACGTTCTTTCGTCCAAATAAAATTGTTCGATCTAAAAAAAAATTAAAAAAAGTAAAGTCGTCAGAGGGTTCCCCAGCTATCTGCAGTTTCATCATCTAAATATTTGCATTTTCATTGAAATGACTGAAATCCTAAAAATGACTTCTGGATGCTTTAAACAGAATTTAAAAAATGAAATTATCCTATATTTGAAATTCCGCTGGAAAACCGAATTTTTCGTGGATTTCAGATGGATACAATATATAATGCAACTATGTCTGAATGATAATGTAATTAACTGCGTGTAATTTGCTGCTTAAAGTCCTAAGGTTTACCTCGTTTTCCAGATTCCATATTGTTCCCTTCTTCTCACTATCGATAGTTTTCAGTACTGTTCCGACAGCTGTATTTATTGGAAACCTGAATGGGAAGGTTTTTGATTTAGCAAGAAATGGTTTCGATATTGGAGTACTGGAGTAGTGCTTATCCATAAAATACATTAATAATAACATTGTACATTAATAATAACATTGCCTTATAATAATTTTTAGAGCCAAATTTCAACTGGTACTATGGCTAACAGCTTATTGCTTTCAGTTGGATTTATTCTCAGATACAGATTTATTACGACTGACTTTCAGTTGGATTTATTCTCAGATACAGATTTATTACGACTGACTTTAGATAAATAGTGGAGCTATTGATTGTCGGAGAACTAAAAATTGGACGAATAGTGAAAATGATTTGTTTTTTTCGATTCTCCGAATCGTGAGCAGATACTGAGAGTATTCGATTCGTTTTAAAATATTTTTGTTCAAAATTCGCACTCGTCCATAGCGAATTTCGTATAATTTTAAAAAATCTTGAGATTTCTAAAAATTTCATGCGTAGAATTTATTAAAAATTAATGATGAAGCTTGTGACAAAGAGTTTTTAGGACTTTTTTTTGAAAAAGTACAAATTAGAGCAGAAAACCTAAGAAAAATCTAAGAAAATCTCTGATTAATCTTTATCATATTTTTTTATCATATTTGTGATATTTCAAATGCGACTATTCATTTCTTCTCATTTTTTGAAAAAATGTTCTGCTAGCTCCATTGACAACAAAGTTAGGGTGAAATAGAAAAAGATAAATGGATAAACCGCTAATCCAGATTTCATCTTTTAATAATGGCTTTTAAGAATAAGAAACATAATCCATGTAGCTTGGCCACCATGCCCCTATCTAAGTATTTGGATACCTATTAGAGATATATATGTCGTCGCATATGCGGTCCTGATAAATTTTTTCGCGACTGTGTTGCACTTAGCAATTAAATAATTATATTTGAAAATTAGTCTCAAATAAAAAATCAGAGTATCATTTTACTGCAATATTTACTGAACGAATTACCATTGGTTTCGATTTCCCATTTCACGACATTGCTTGCATTAAGCTTCATTAAAAAGCAGTTATTCGAGCAATGACGGGACAGCGTTATAACTCGTTCAAAAGGTTCGATTAGCTTTACTTTGGACTGAATACTTTGATAAATAATCCTGATCTGGCATATTGAAGATCTCGAACCGGCATTTCCGAAGTTATCGTACGCAATTACTGATAAGTAATAATCTTTTCCAGAATGAGTTACAAGATGCTTTCGTGATATTTTGCCTAAAATTTTATCTCGTTATCAGAGATAATTGTTAATTATTTTTGTTTCATATTATTTTCTGGAGGCAATATTGCGTTGGCTAGATACCATTGTACTGTAGTCGCTGAATTCGACAGGATTAAATCTACCATAAAAACTTTGGATGGCGATGAGAAGCACGTAATTATAAATAAATAAATATATATATAAAAATTATAAGCAATTTTGATGCAAAAATTTCTAATGGACTAATGGACACAAATGGACTGCCAATGGACAAAATTTCTAACTGCCAAAGAATAGAAATAAAAAGATACCAATCAACTAATTATAGTATTTTATTTTTTAAAGATTCCTCAAAGATAATATAAAAGGTTATTAAGATGGGATTTAAAGAAATGAATCCACGGTTTAGGACGCTTAAAAAAAAGATTTTACAATGATTATTTGTAATTGCAATAAAATTAACCATCAGCGCTGACTTCAAAGTCAGGATCATTTTGAACTCGATATCTTACTGTACCATTAATACCTTCATCAGAATCAATTATTTTTATTGCACCGAATGGAATACCGACAGCATAATCATCAGTTAACACAACTGGTTGAGCGGTCGAGCAATTTGGCGAATTATCATTGATGTCAAGGATTTTGATGTAAATAGTTGCATTGGACGATAATCGTGGCTGAAAAATCATTAATTTTCAACTGCGTAAACAAATCCACAAAATCCTTTTGGTATAATTAATTTGGAACCTGGCCATGATCGCTGGCGACCACAGTTAAATGATAATCACTTTTAAACTCCCGATCCAGAGGAGACTTGACGTACATAATTCCAGATGATGCATGAATACCGAAATCAGTATTTTCATCTGACAAATGAAATGAAATTTTTCCGTTCGCATCTCGATCAAGATCTTTTGCTTTGAATGCTATCACTTGTGTCATCAAGGAAGCATCTTCAGGCACCTAAAACAAGCTAGTTCTAACTAATTATTTTATTTAAAACCATGTTAGGCATTCGCGCGGCACTGAATTAAATGGCAGCCAACGAGACAATTAAAATAATGAGTAGGAAGAATGAAAGTACTAAAGGTTCACGGCGCTGTTCTGCTCAACTATTATAGAAATGACATAACGCATACGGCTCAGTAGAAATTTTTTCCTCAACCTTTCGTCTGAAACAAGACCAACTACTAGGAAAAAATGTATTATATTATCAATTTATCGAATTGAGGATTTTCTTAAAAACATTAGTGAAAAAAATGTGACCTCAACTTCATAAAAATTATGCTCAAATTCGGGAAAATTGTCGTTGACATCTAATACGTTCAAAATGACTTGAGGATTTTCTTAAAAACATTAGTGAAAAAAATGTGACCTCAACTTCATAAAAATTATGCTCAAATTCGGGAAAATTGTCGTTGACATCTAATACGTTCAAAATGACTGTGACATTGTTGTGACGAGGTGGAACTCCCTGGTCTCGTGCTTTCACAATTAAATTATAACGTGTAACATCCTCATAATCCAAGTTCGAAGTCAAAATCATTTCGCCTGTGATCGGCAGAACGCTTATTGGGCAATGTGGCTCACTCTGCACCAAAGAATAATGAATTTCTCCATTCTGAACAAATCTTATCAATAAATAAAAATTTTCAGACTTATAATCTACAAAAATATAAAAAATTTTTGTCCAATCCATGATATTAAATTGTTTTATCAATTTTTATTAAAATTATATTCAAGATTTTCACTGAAGAAAAACCATGCATAATCTTTACTTTTCCGTGATCCTTGTCCTTTGCTTGGAGTGCAAAGAAAGGAATATGAGTCGGTTGATTTTCAAGAACATAGGCTTCAATTTTGGTTATTGGAAACACCGGATCATTATCGTTAACATCGATGAGATCAATCAACACTTGAGCATAGCTCGATTCACCTCGATCCGTAAAGGCCTTTAAATGAATCAATGAATTGAATTATTTCTTCTTATAATTATAAAGATTTTCTCTTTACACTTGTTTTTCAATGTCGATATTGCCCAAAGTTAGAAAGTTAGAACAAAGTTTTCTTCCCTTTGGGCTCCTCATTACAATATAAGAATTTATTATATACAATATATTTTACCTGCACATTCAGAAGAATCGACTGCCATTTATCTGCATCGAGATATCGGCTAACTATTATTTTTCCATCGAGCGAATTAATCATGAAAAAATGATCCGGATCACCCGAATAAATGTTATATTTGATCTTATATGGCCCAGCGGTTTCTACCTTAATTGCCGATTTTTTAAATTTTTTTTACTATTCAAAATACAATAATCGGAAGACTTCTTGCATCATTTCAACCAAATATTTTATTAATGTTTACTATTGTGATTAAAATAATTTATATGATTAATAATTAATTCTTTTCTTATTGCCTTTCTAAATAAATCAACTGACTGCGACAAAGATTATGTTAGGTCTAAAGTGAATATTTATGGTACTTGTCCTATTGATATTCCTGGCAGCAGATCTTCTGGCACTTCGAATTTATATAACAATGAAGTGAACTGTGGTATAGGAATTGATGCTTTAGTGACGGATATGTGTACTGTAGCCTGCAAAAGGCTTAAAGGCTTACGTAAAAAACTTATTGCAATAAGAAATTACAACCAGTTTTCTTAAAAACTTTAATATTTTCAATAATTCCTGTACCACTTTTTCGCTGGTTAATCCCCCACCATCACTCGCTTGTACGACGATATCATAGCGTTTTTTTGAAACCTTGTTTTGCACAAGCATTTCGCCCGTACGAGGCTCCAATTTGAATGTTCCATCATTTCCGGCAATAATCCGGTAATGGATCTGAAATTCTCCAATTTTGCTGTCTATTAATTTATTTATTCTAGTTATAGGATTAGGAGAAGTTTTGAATGAATAAACTAATGGAAAAATCCTTCAACTGATATTAATAATATTGTTCTGACAAAACTGCCGATTAGATTAGATTTATTAAACATGCTGTAAATTGCTAATTTACCTGCCCATATATGCCTTTGTCGGCATCTTTCGCATAAACAATCAAAATTAAACTTCCAACGGCTATGTCTTCTCGTACAGTAACATTATAAATCGACGGATAAAAAACCGGATAATTGTCATTGACATCTTCCACATGAATGTTGACCAATGCATGGCTTGAACGACCATCCAAAATGAAAGCCAGTGAAAAAATAATTTAAGCAAATATGCAAAACTTATTGCATAAATGTCCAGAAATATTTATGCGAAATGGTTTCTTTATTATTTCATAAAAACGGAAAAATTTTAATTTTTTGTCTATAATGGAAGAAATAAATAAATTTTAAAGAAATAAAGATAATAATAATAGCAATGACAATAATAATGGTAATAATTAATCGTTTGAATATTTCCTAATATTTCTTTTGTCACCCATTTTCATCCATTTTATCAAATAAAATTATCACTTAGCAGCTTAATGCGAAAATATTCAATTATTGAATTATAAAACGGAAATCGAGTTGATTTGTTTTGAGTACTTGTAAAATTGCTTAAAAGTTTCTTCAAAGAAATTATTTATTCATCAATACTTCTTAAACTCCTTGTTTGTGTTGTTTTTGTGTTTCAAATATAAATATAAACAATTTACAGAATATTTAATAAAGAATAATGGAATAAAAAAGTTTGGAAATGGTTATTCCAAATTAATGCAAATTTCTAAAATTTCTAAAAAAAAACTTACATCTTAGAAATAATATACACTTCCTCCCTTTAATTTTAAATCTTCCTTTAAGTGAGGTTTCTCATGATAGACCTTATTGAGGATTTTTATTCTTCTTAAGGATGCAATTATCACAAATAGTTTTCACCACTCAAAATCTGTGATTATACAAAGACAGAAAAAATGTTATCTATTTGACAAATTGAAATTATGTTACATCTCTAATGCGAAAATTTTTAGAGAATACTGAACCAAACAGCACTGTAAACCTTATTTAAAGAACATCTTTAAGATAGAGGTACCACCCTAAATTTTAATGGCGAATTCAAGATGAAAATTGAAACCAAAACTGTAAAAAAATATTTCAGTGCGATGAAATAAATTCTTCGAAAATCTTTATCTTTGCTAAAATATTTCAATTATCAACTTACCAAAATCACTTGCTTCAATAACAAATTGATATTTGGCAGTTGTTTCAAAATCCAAATTTGCTCCAAGGCAAATCGTTCCGGTTTGGTCGTCAATATTGAAAAAATTCCGAATTAACGGCTGGTCTTGTATGGAATAACGAAGTCGATTATTCGAGCCACAGTTATTTTTTGCGAAAACCTTAAATGCAGAGATTAGATTTACTGCAGAAAAATATTCTGATTTTTTTCCTTGCCATAAGCCTAGTTTTTTGCTTTTTTTCTTTCCTTTTAATTGATCCGTGCAATGTTTTTCCTTTTGATAATTTTTTCCAATAAATTTTTTGAGGAAAAAAATATAAGTGCTCCCAATATTCACAACAGTTTTGCTCTTACTTCTTACCTGGATCGAAATCATGTCACTCGCAGAAAGTGGAGGTAGTATGGGCGAATATGCGTTGCTTAGATTGTCATTTTAACCATCATAGTAAGTAAGCCTGCCATTAATAAAATAGACTAGAATAAATCTTTCTAGGTCATTGAGAGACTCATATATATTTCTGAGATAAGTAAACCTAGCCAGAAAGTGCGAGCGCTTGCCAAATGTTATTCGCTATTATCCAGGATTCGTCATTACATAATCTTTTTGGTGCTACAATATAAACAAGCGATTCAATGATGGGAACCATGGAAACGATTCTAGATTTTCATTGATTTTGCGTATCTATTTGCCTCAAAAATTTGATGCAGTCTCGTTATCAAATTTCTTTAAAAGAATAAGCGAATTCGCTCCCAATTAGCCAAATTTCTATTTTACGTGCTTGTTAACCGGGAAATTCGCTAATTCTATGAGTAAAAAATTATATAGCGATCGAATGATCGAATTATAAGATTTTACAAAATCGACGATATACCCCTCTATCGTTGCGAAATCTCGTACTTTTTCGCTGTTAAAATCATTTATGAGCTTTATAATTTAAAATTATAGGCGATAAAAAATTGAAGAGAGTACCATTTGGATATGTCAACGAAATGTCTCCCTATTTTGTTCATCAATATGGTTGGCGAAATGGCTTATATTATACAACAGCGTTTGCAGGTTAAGATTAGTTTTTTTCACTGACAAAAGTGAACAATTAATCACAAAAACGATTAAACAATCGTTGGCTTTTGCTATAAAGTGAGCTGATTTTCTGAATGGATTACAAGCACAAGTGAAAAAAGAATTGAAAAATGCATCCTTATTTTCCACAGTTTCGAGTTTGCGCAGTTTTACAATGCTAATTTATTTTACTTTTCCTATTAATATTAACCGTTTTTTGGTATGCTTGATGCCACTGGCCAATAGGGCGAGATTTTTTCGTTAAATGTTCACTCGAGAACAGAAACTGAAATCCTTAGCATTGCCCACGACTAGACTGGACAACGATTATCCACATCCAACAAACGTAAATCTCCTAAAGTCATATCCTCTTCACTAGTCAACAATTTCGTTGGTTCGTGTTCATTGGAATTATATTGGTTCGCTTGGTTAAGTGTTTTAACAAATATCGTAAAATTACTATATGTAAAATATGCTAAAACCTATTTTACAGTTCCATTCGAAACATTTCCATTAATTTTAATAAAAAAGGGAATTAAAACTTTGTTTAGCAAATATTTTTAAGGCACAAAAAATCAGCAAAGAAAAAAGTTTTCGAGTACTTTCTGATATATTTTATACAATGTTCGATAAGAAATTTATCGAAGAAATTTTCAAGCCACAGGAAATTTATTCTCGACGAATTATGCGAACATTTTTCGAAAAAATAGCTCATTCCAGTATTATGCGACTTAACGAGACAAGGTTGGCTAATAAATATAAATTTAATTCAGTTATGGAATTTTATTCTACGATTAGCATAATTTCTAATTTGAAAAGCTTGAATAAGTGTATGACTACTATAAGATGAAACCCTTCACCAAACAATTAAATGATGAGATACAGCTGAGTAGCTATTGATCATACAAATCTCATGTTATTAGTTGAAGGAGCCAATACAACCTCCGTGCCCAATTTTAGAATCAAGTTGACCCTGATTGACTTGAATTTTATCTCAGATTAATTAGCATGGATAAATTATAAATTACAATTCAGTATGGATAAATTATATGATTTGATGACCATGGCTTTCAAGTACCAAATTCAAATGTGTTCTCAACCTGATCAAATTATTATTATATCCTTAAATCATATTGATGGCATAAGAAAGATTTTACCGAACGATGAATTCTTAGGTGAACTATTGGATTCTGTTCACAATATGGTATCTTTTTATGCTATAATCGGCAAATGAACATGAGATGATTATGATATGATATGAAGATAAAATAAGATTTATTACATTTTTATCATCTATACGAAGATGAAAATCAGTATTTCAGTTAGTGGAGACTTATAGTAATTTGCCGCTTTGGGAGAAATCATTAATACGAAATTTTCTGCTTTTATTTTTCCAGGTATATTTCATTTAAAGATAATGTCTCCCTAAGAATTTGGAAAATTTTTCGAAACTGAGCGAAATGAAATTGATAAGAAATTGAGCAAAGATTCTTTGTTTCTAGGATGCCAGAGTAAGAGTATCGCTCTTGTTACGCGAAAAGAAGCAGATGGACGATGGAAGATTCCTTCTTTTTCCCTCAAAGGATATCGAATTACCATATAAAGGTGAACAGCCAGGAACGATTAAATACTTCACGGGCGGTAAAATCACTAAAACTGAAACATTTCCCCTGATTCGGAAACAAATTAGCTATAAAAAATGCGAAACTATGGTATTTATTCCTCTTAATTTATAAAGAATTTCCTCTCTATTGACTGCTTTTTTAACAATTTTTTTCAAATTTCGAATTTCTTAACAAAACTTTAACCGAAAAGACCTTGGATTGTAAAAAATTAATTACATATATTCTATTTATCAAAATAGAATTATTGGGTTTCAAATTGTGTAGTCAAATCCATCAAATGAAGAAAAATTACCCAAGGAAGTGGTAAATTTAAACATTAAATTTAAATTTAAAAAATTTTGGAAGACTTAACTGAAATCAATTAAATTTAGGGTGATTTACAACTCAGAACGACAGCAGATCGAGGAACAACTCTTGGAAGGAATATGTATATATCGCCCGATAGCTTCGAGGTTTACTATTAAAACTATAGTCGACACTTAAAGTTATTTCTGTTATATTTCTGTTATTTTGAAATACTTTCAATAATGCTCAAATATTCGCAAAGTGAAATTTTAAAAAATTTTTATTTTCCTGTTCTGTAGGTAAAAGGTGGAGGTAGTTTAATGAGAGTGGAAGTTCCACCACCAGGCGATGAATTAAAGTTGTTATCTGCTCTGATAATCAGATCAAATATCGGCGAAGAAAGAAGAGGTTTCGCTTACCTTTTTAACTTTATATTACCTTAAAATTATTAAGCTTAATAGCCTTTAATCGCTCATAATAGGGAAGGTTATTTTAATTTATTTAATTTAACTGAATATTCTGAATTTGCATTTCTTGGATAGAAGTTGACCTTCAAGAACCAGTGCTTGATAATATCTTCTTCGTTATCTGATTCTTTCATCTTCCATGGTTTTAAATTATTTTATAAATTAAGGAATTGAACTAAGCCTCTTTAATGATGAACTTGAAGAAAAACAATTTATTGATGCGACACAAAATGCCCATTTCGAATTTAAACGTATCGATGCACATAAATCCAGGAAAACTCTTAATAAAGCGCTTGCTGAAGTAAGAATTTTCAAATTTCTAAATTTATTCTATATTTTGCTAAACAGTGACAAAAACGAGTTTACAACGAGTCTTTTTTTTTCAGATTGGTATTAGTTTAAGCACTAAATCGGTAAATTTAAGCAGTACCATGGGAATACAAAAACAAAATTTCTTACGAAAATCTATTTAAATAATATAACTTTAATTTTCGTTTTTATGAAACGGGGGAGCAGATTAATTATGTTTACATTGGCTGTTCACACGTTCGACTTATATCTAAAGAATATCGAATATTCCCAGATGGCCAGTTTTGTTGTTTGTAATGTCAATTTTAAGTTTATAAGAAAGCTTATTTATTGCTTTCTTCATCTCAGCAAGATGGATGACCAAAAAACAGAATAAAACGATTCGATTGAATGGAGTATGTTCGACAGATGTAAAAATTGAAAATTGGGATAATTTTGAAAATAAATATTCATAATGAATGTTCATAAATAAATTTATGGATGAGTTGTAAATTTTAAATGACTCAAATAAATATAAGGAAATTATTAGTGCAAAAAATCAGTGCTCGACTTCTGCTTCAGAAAGGAAAAACCCGGCTGACTAGTGCTGCTGGTCTACTATTATTTCTATCGCCAGTGATTACATTCCCCAAAGATTTTTTTAATTACATTAATAGCCAGCGAAGCGAGAGTTTAATCAGAAATGGTGAGTGTTAACCGTCTAGTTTTTTTGATTAGATAGTGAATAAGCACGGACATCCATCAATGCTTTGAGTAGATAAGATTATATTTCATATCCGATTTTGACCTTGATAAATTAGAATAATATTTTCAATCAGTAATTGCTCAATATTAAGGAATTCATTCATCTTCCTATTTTCTAAATTTCTTTCTCTCTCACTTAAAAAATCCATAAACTGTGCAAATTTCTCCGTTCGTTTGTGATTTTTTTTATGTCAAGGCGAATGATAGCTGTTGTTCGTTCATTTGTAATACCACTCATCATTAATACCACTTCTTTGCATACTCTCCATAAATTTCTATTATTTTATAATGGCGAAGGACAAATTTAGAAGAGAAGGGTTCATTCATTTATCATGGCCAATTCGTTTAACACAATAAACGGTTTGGAAAAAAATTCCCTTGAGAAAAGTGAGAAAGCGTCGCGATAAATTGAATATTGACTGTTATGCCATTTACAATTATAAAAAATAGGTATTTATATTTAAAATCCGAATTAGTACAATAAAATTCGTGAGGACGTCCATAGCTGCTTAGAATTAGACTTTAGAACATCGTAATAAATTTATTCTCCAAAATTTGCATATCATTTTTCTCATTATATATATAATCCTTCTATTTTCAGCTAAAAATCGGTGAAAATGATGAAACACCAAAATCAGAAACGAAAGAAGACGTGTGGGATTTGCTAGAAGAAAGTAAGCTCAAATAAAAGAAGACCTCACTATTTCAACATTTCATGAAAATAACGCATAAAAAAAAATAATGATTTACTTTTTGAGGTGTTAAACTTATTATTATAAAGAAATTATATGACAGTTTGCTTCCACAAATAGTATATTTCAGTAGGTCCATTTTTAGTCAATCAAATCGAAAGAAGCTTTTGGCATAAAAGTTCCAAAAAAATTATCGACATACGTGCGTCAGTTTCATAGAAAAGCAGTTAGCCAAATATGCTTCATTTATAAGAAATACTTCAGCATGAATGACATTTCTCAGTTACTCCACTTCTGACTTATTTGCTTGGCAAATAATACCGCTGTGCACAAAATTAAAATGCGAATTACGATTCACATAAATCGAGACAAATTTTGATGCAAATTTTAATCGAACAGAAATATTAATAATATATAATTTATTAGTTGTGGAGACTGTGAATGATATGATTCTGCCAAAGCATTTAACCATGTCATCTATTTTATGGAACAGAAATCTGAACTATTCGTTGAGAACGATTGAATAGTTATGAAAAATTTCAAAAATTTTGAGCAATAAATGAGATGGTATGTATGGCTTGCAAAGATTTAAGTAGTTTTTTTTACCAAAAAGTAAATTTCCGAAAATCATTTTCTCAAATGAGAAGAGAAGGGCATGGAATAAAATATTTTTTAAATTAAAGAGAAAAAGGCCCGAGATATATATATTAGTTTCGCAGTAATTAATGAGAATTTAAATTATTAGAATTTAAATTCTTTTAAAAATAAATTTATAAATGCTAAGAGAGTTGTTTAATTAGTAAGATGCCAAAAATAAATAAGCCTTTTTTTTAAAGAAACCTTTAACAAACAAATCAAAATCAAACCTTTAACAAACAAGTCCCTTGTTCAGTGTCTTCCTTGATAGAGACTTCATATAAAGGTTTCGAAAAGACAGGTGGCCTCGAATTACTATCAACTATATCAGCTATAACGTCAACGAAAGATGAAAGTGGTGGCACTCCATTATCTTTCGCAATGACGCGAAATTTAACTAGATCAGATGAACAATTAAGCTGAAAATAATTCTAAATAAATGCAGACTAGAGGTGAACCAAAGATTTTTTAGCAGGACAATAATTTTTAGAAAACTTAACCTTAAGAATTTGGGGCAAAATAAATGTTTCGATGCAAAATTGGTGGAAAATGAAATATTAAAAGATTTAACATTTATGATGGATAAGTAGCACTAAAAATAGCAATTCTTATTTTTATTTCTTGGTAGGAGTAAATGTTATTAAGATGAAATCTGGAAAGCTTCTGAGGCTATTTTCCATCTAGTTCTATTTCGAAGTGATTCTCTCACAAGCCCAGTGATATAAGTAGTTTTTTTTCCACTGAAAAAGAAATTATTTGTTGTTAAATTATTATTGCTATAAATTTTTACGCCAAAATCTAAAATCTTGTTTCGCTCCCATAGAAAAACAATCCAGTTTCTTTTGCATTTGACTTGTCAGTCATAATTTGATCCTTAATTAATTTAATGACCTCCGATTCAATATGAAGAATTCCTGTTTCCGCTTCGATTGAAAGCACTGGCATATCCATTAATGAATAGGTAATACGAGCATTTTCACCAGAATCAATGTCTTTTGCTGTGATTTGCAAAACGTCGAACTGATCAGATGATTGATTGATCGTGATATGTAAGACAGATTGTTCGAAACGAGGTGGATTATCATTGACATCAAGTACCTTTAAATTATTTTAAGGCTAAGTAAAATCATGAATTGAAATCCATGCGATGAATCAATTACATAAGACCAAAATCAAAAAAATATTACAAATTAACCTTAAAACGCATCGGATGCTCCAAAATTATTCCATCATGATTTGTTAAGGTAAATAAAAGGTCATAAAATGATTTATATTCCCGATCAAGTTGCCCGCAGATTATTAATAAGTAAATATTATGAGAATCAGTTTGTCTTATACAAACCGTTGAACTACCACTAATTGTAAGTTCGCTGAAAAATAAATTGAAAAATAAATTGGTAAAAGATCTGAGCTTTTAACGAATATTTCAAGGAATGTGAATTCCAAGGTTATCCATTTTATCGAAAAGAAAAGCCAGAACCTTTCGTGGTTTTCTTGCTCAACCAATATTCGAGCTAAAACATATCCAAGAGAGATATTTTCATAAACTTCTGGATTGCCAGAATCAGTCAGCCAAATAAAATCGAGATGAGGTTTCTTTTCATTGCTTTTTTCGACCAATACACTCAAGAACGCGGTCGATTCAAGAGGCTGTGGTACACCGTGGTCGGAGGCAAGTATTAAAATTTCATAAACCAATCCTTGTTCAAAATTAGGTTCAGCTACTCTAATTACGCCACTGTCAGCATCAATCGTGAAAAGAGGTACCAAATCTGGCCGATTCTGAAAATATAGATTACTTTTTCTTTAATCTAGTTAAAACGCTCTCTTTTTCATGTCAGGTTTGTTCCATTGGTTATTAGTGCAGTCAGAAATCTTCGAGAAAATTCTGGATAGAACGGGTGGGTTCCCTAAGTAGTGTCACAGCAGTGATTTTTTAATGGTTATATTTTTACTCGAAGCATAAAATGATAATCTAAGCACTCGATTATCACATTTTTTTACAGCATAAATACAGTGAAATTTAAAGAAACATCGATGATCGTAATGAATTGATTTCCGATTTCGGTAACTGAATGCACTCCTTTTTTTCAGCATTAATGCGCCATACCATTTGTATGATAATTGATCGTAAAGAATGGAGTTATGAAGTTAACTAACTAATTCACAATTATGCACAATTATTGAAGAGGTCACTCCATCGTTATAATGAAAAGATCCGTCCAAATGACTAAAATTTTTTAATGAAACCAATCATAATTTCACCAACTTTTAGCGATTCTTTACGTGAGGAAGGATTATTCATTTCTTTTTTTGTATTTTTTTATAATTTACTAATTCGCAAGAGTTGTTAAAATATGCCTCAACGATATGCCATTATTTTCGTTTTGCCACCACGATAATTCTAATTTCTCAGTAATGAATAACCAATAACCACTAATATGCAATAAAACACATCAAAAAACCTTCCGAATGATGAAATATTGTCGAATTGCTGAATGAAATTGATCCAGGTCAAGTGCGACTTGACCGTGACAATATATGCGACTCCCGAATAGTTTTTTAACTCTAACAAATGAATGGAACTATTCGAAATTTTGTGAAATCATAACGAAAAAATAAGAAAATAATTTAACTGATGCAAAATATAAGATTTTAATGAAAGTTTGCAAAATATTACCCGAACAATGGAATAAGTAATTTTGGCATTATCACCAGCGTCGTTATCGACTGCATGTACGGTTGTCACTAATTCGTTTTTTGTCACATTCCAAGGAATCGAAGCAGAGTACCTGGCTTGTGTGAACTCTGGCGCATTATCGTTTGCATCAAGAATCTTTATACTCACATTCAATGTACCTTTTCTAAATTTAATATTTCGGATATAGTATATTCCCAGAAAAAAAGCAAAATTTGCATAAAATTATTTCGTAAAATATAAAAAATTTAGAATAATAGTAAAAGGTTGCAATGTCGCAAGAAGAAGAATGATACCTCGGTGGTGTGCCACCGTCGATTGCTTCAATGACAAGACTATAGTATTCACGATATTCTCGATCCAACAACCCGTTTACAATTAGATCGACATATAATAAAGAGTTTACTTCTTTGGTTGAAAGTCTATAGAATACAAAATAAGTCTATAGAATATTTATCTATATAATTTATTTATATTTATTGTTTATTGTTTATATTTATATTTATTTATATATTTATTGTTTATATATTTTATATATTTTTATGATTTATTGATTAGTTATAATTGGATGATTAAAAATAATTCGCTGATAAATTTTTAACACCATGAATTTACTTTAATGGCTACTAATATCGTCATTTTGCGTTGGCTTAATGGCAAGATGGCTCCTATAGACAATCACCAATTCGGATCTGGCGGATGCACTGTGGTCGCCTTGTTGCCGAACGACGAATGTAAAGGAGTTAGAATGGTTTATTGCTGCTCTCATTTCCGAATTGGGGTTTCTACTCCCAGTAGGAATAAACTCGTGCCTTTCAAGAATCCAGGTGATTTTGTGATTCTGGCTCACAAAATTATTCTAATCTGACTAGCCAATGGAGCGAACCAGCAATGGTATGCGCTCTTAAAAAAGAGAAGTATTTTTACTTCTCTTTGGATCTGAAAGCATGGTTATTAATTAATTTCGAATATACCTAAATGCATTATTAACATTTCCAGAAACAATCCTAAATTTCTGAATAGAATAAGGCGGTGAATCGGGATCCGAAGCTAATGGCAAAGAGATTTCCGAATTCAGTCGAGTATATTCCGAAATTTCGATCTATAAAAAAAGAAAATTATGTTCAGTTCAATTATGTAGATTCTTAGTAGAAGTTCTTTGCTTAGAAATTAGCTATGAAAATTAAAAAAAATACCAGAAAAATTTCCTAAAAATATCCGCAGTTAGCAAACCATCTCAATATTTAGTGGCAACCTTCATTAACTAAGGCTGGCTACACAACTCAACAGTAATTGATTTAAATATAACATACATTAATTGATGGTACAGCGAATGTTGGTGAATTGTCATTTTCATCCAAAACCCGGATATAGACATGAACTGCATTAGAACCATCGATAGGCACCGCAATAATGTCATACGACTGCCTTGATTCAAAGTCTAACTCAGATTTGACAGAAATCTCTCCACTTATTTCTTCTATCGCGATGAACTGCAAATATTGTTATTAATTTTACGAATATTTTTAATATCTAAATATCATAAACTTCATAATCTTATATCTTAATTTTCCAAATCTTCAAATATTTAAAATATTTAAAACGACTACAAAACGACTAAAATCCCTCGATGCCCATTTGATTAGAAGTTAATATATTATCTGCGAAAGATCCTGGATCTTACTGAAGGAAAACAATTCACAGTTGAAATAGATAAGGTAAGCTACCGAATTGGCAAATGAAGGTTCTATCTTTTGCCTTTATCCTTTATATAGTCCGCTTTTGTGTTCAGAAACTTCCAATAATCCTCACTTATTTAATAAGGTGGTTGCCTTTATTCATATCTTTCATGATCATATCGCAAATGTCATTTATTAAATGAAGGACATTTTCAAAACGATAAATTTTCGGTTGTTCATCTTCATTTCATTTCAAAATATCCTCCGATTTAACGGTAGAAATAGAAAGATAGAAACATTTCATAGAAAATTGCAGTGATACTAGTGGCAGAATTAATGTTGGATGTGATTATATGAATGAATATCAGCAAATTTTAGGGAGTCATTAGGACTCCATGTGCCATAAAGTCAATAAAAATCCATGATAAACCATGCTTACGATGGTTTGACCAATGAAATTTTTAGCGAAATATATTTCTCTTGATAAAAAATATTACTTATTTGTAAATATATACATCGCCTCATCATTCTCCTCGTGGGTAGTATGAGTCACCCTCAATCTTGGATTCTCTACCAGAGGCCTGCGAGCTTGACGGTTCTGCTTAGTATCTTAGTTGTGCTCTTCTGAATTGTGGTCTGAATTCCTCTGCTAGAGCCACTTCTTCATTGTGGGATTCACAGCCCCTGGTGGTGGTGCTTCTATCACCACTTTCGCTTTTCCACATCTTCTATTGTTCCTCTTTCTTAAGCTTTCTGGTATTTTTCAAGCTTCTATAATTCCTTCTTTCCAATGTTCCTACCACTTTATGTTGCCATAACTGTTGCTATTTTTTTCTCAATCTATAATGCTAATTCTTATTTCTGGTTCTTATCTACTACCACCTGATATCTGGTTGATTAGTGTTTATTTGTCTCTCTGGATGGATGAATTGTTTGTCTAAGCCATAAGCAGATAATCCTGTGGACAGTACCAGCTATATTATATATGTAATACATTATTGCTAAAAATGCTATAATTAAATGTGATGAATCACATGAATTATGAGATGTTCACAAAACTTTTTATCCTTAAATGCATAATTATCCAAATTAAAGACTTTTTGCCCATTTGCAAATAAAAACAAAAGTAATATTAAAATAATTCCAAGGAAAAAAAAAGTGGTAACGATGTGAATTGTTAGAAGAAGAAGGAAAGAAGAAAAGAATAACGATAAAGATTTATAAAACCAAAAAGAACATTAAAATGCGAAATTGTAAAATTATTTTCGAAATTTGAAGTTTAAACGGCCGAAAATTGCCTGCGGCGAATTTATCCTAAAGAGCTTGCTGGATTAGTGTTATTTGCATCTAATAAACAGGTAATGACTGGTTGGATTTTCTTAAGAAAAAGTTGAAAAGGAGGACATAAGGAGTCGATTAGACTTAGACCTTAGAGGTTTGACGCTTTCCAAAACATGTTTCCGGGAAAATTTAAAAACTTTCATTATCATTAGAACTATTGACCTGAACCAATCGAGCAATAAAAGTTGATTTGAATTTGATCTCTATCTTTCCCCATGTTTATGATGAATTCTGGATGATTATAAAAGTTTTTTTGAAAATTTGCGATCCAACAAAATAACTTTCAAGAAAAAAGAAGAAAAAAGGAAAACCACAAATTATCGTACAATAATTTTCTTTTCTTAGTATTATTAAAATGAAGTCGATCTCAGAATCGAAGAAAATCGTCAATAATAATTAAAGCCGATCGAAAAGTTACTATTAAAATCATTTCCAGGATGCAACCAACAGAATTTGTTTATTTGGTTCTACCAAGCATCGAAATGAACCAAAAATTATTTTATTCTAGAATAACTAAATATGATGAATTTCATACTAACCTTATCAACATCAGCAATTCCATCGGGAAAAATGATATAATAATTAGGCTGAACACCAATAGTTGCGCTGTTATTTACATAACCGATCACGTGACCGCGTGGTACTGATTCGCTCACATTAAATTCACGTTGTATTTCAAGATGGACGTAAGAGAGAGAAATTAGGAAAAAAATAACCGACGAAATCATTTAAAATATTTCAAAAATGACCCATTAATAAGATCGGTTAAAGTGAACATAACTGTTGTTTTGCGTGATTTGACGACACGTTATACGCAATGAAGCGAAATGACTGAAAAGGTGGTAAAATTGATGAGAAAAAGTTCAGCGGTCATCCTCGCATATCTGATTTTATGTACGAAAATGCGAGTTTCTTATTTGAATGCGAAAACTGAAAGGTTCGAAGAGTTAAATATTGAAAGTAGTAGTATAGTAGTTAGCAGTAAGATGGCAGTAATATTAAGTGAAAACTATCGCTCAGTGCTGAATTCGACGACATCGTAGCTATTGATCAGAAATTAATTAAGAGAATGCAACTTTTCATAATTGGAATATTCAGCTAAAATGAACTTTTATTGACACTTGTTTCATATATTTCCCCGCCACTAATAACCTTTTTCTATTTTCTATTACAACTCAACATTTCTGGTTTGGATGGTTCATAGAAATCTTCTATTAGAGCGAAAGCCTTTCGCTAGAGAGGTCAGAAATACAAAGGGGACCATTACAAATGGGTCCAAAGCACCACTCAGACACCAATGACGATTATAAGAATAATAATGTTAGTGATAAAAATAATAGTAAAATTAATGATAAAAATAAGTGAATAAATAAACAATGAATGAGAATAAAGAATAAAAGAAAATTATGAAGAAAGTAGTTCGACTGAATTGGAAATTCAATGTCGCTGTTTGGTAAAAGAGAAATTTGGAAGAAATATTAAGATTTCTTCTTGCACCGCCCAGAGAGAATGATGATCGCCAATCGTCCTTGGCAAGCATTATGCACCCCCCCTCCAATGCTGGCCATACCCGTTATATTATTATTTTCCACTCATATCTCCTTACCATTATCTGCCTGTCCTATTTATTATTATCTATTTATAAAATTAGTCTAAATTATCTTATTGCTTATTTATTAGGCTCATGGTCGAGTAATGTTTATTGCTGTGAAGGTGAGAAATATGACAATATCCGAGCAGACTTGTTGCCATATGACATTAATTATATATGCACTCTATATTCTGTCAACTATGCCATAGATTGTGTATAAACTCTAAAGCTCTAAAATTAGGACCCTCTTCTAATAACACGAACCAGTCGGTTAACACTTCTGGCTTCTAGGTTAAAGCACTTCCTGGCCTGGCGATCCGAGACAAAGCCCTTTCGTTTTCCAGAATAAGTTTTAACTAAAAAATAAGAATGGGAATCCGATCGACCGAGCGCAAAGAATAATGAAAATTTCTTAGATTCCTGACGTCGTTTTTTATCGCGAAAAGAATAAAAAGCGATAAAGTATGAAATGAATCCAATTCATTTTATCTTCTTCACATAACGCATTTGACGCATTTTACTTCAACAAATCGTCGGATGCTAAATAAATTATATTTCAAGATATTCTTCGGTGGTATTCTTTATCGTGCAAATATAAATATACTTATTTTATCAGTCCATATAAAAGGATCAGTAAGATGAAGACTGAGTTTATCAAAATTTCTTGTAATGAATAGAGGAAAGAAACGTAAAAAGAAAGAATTTCTCCTAAAATTAAGGAAACGATCGTCCATTTTCCACTATCATTTACATTGTTTCTTTTTTTACGGTAAATAACATTTATCAATTTCTGGTTTGTCTGGCTGCACTGATTATTAGGTCGCGACTCCCTCACCAGAGGTTTCGCCAGAATAGAGGTTGTTGGTCTCCAGCATTGCACGAATTTCGCTTTTAATGACTCCTTCTAAGAACGAATTGAACTCATAATTTAACAAAAAAAACTTATATTGCTTTTTTTTTTTGGCCAAATTAAATTATTCCAATTATTTAAAAAATCAAAAAAAACGTAACCTTAATTTCATCGCAAGATGGTAGTTGGTGGTGGTTTACGTCTGATATATAGAAAATACCTCGCGATGAATCGCTTTAAAGGCGGTGACCCGTTTTAAAGTTCCTTATAAAGGAGCTTTAGTAAAGTGAAGGATAACAATTATTGTTGTTACAAAGAAATCGGCGAAATTGAATTTAACGGCCATTGCGTTTTTTTTGATCATAAAGGGTAATAAAAAAGACAACTTCAGAGATAAGGATAAGAAGTACAGGAAGAATTAACTGCGGAAGAATATATGTTAAAATCTGGAAGTCGAACATTACTGTTATGGATTACCGTTGAATAAATTTTTGAAAAGATTTAAGAGATGCACCCAGGCAAATGGTAATCACTTGGTAGCTAAGCACTTATTAAAAATCCAAAAGGTGAATAAAAGCATGTGAAGGAAATCGCAAGTGCGTGCCTAAGCCTGTTTATACACATAATATATACGTATTTTGTATGCCAAGTCTTGATGGATGGCGTATACGACCAGCTTTTTATAGATTTTGGCACATACGGTCCGTCGAACTAAGGCACTGGAAAAGAAACGACTAGCTAGTTAAACTATGGGCACCAACCATATCCAAGTTGCCAATGTAGTATTGATCAACACTGCTATGTGATTAGTAGACAAGTAAATAATAGTTTTAAACATGTAAGAGATTCGAAATTCGAAATCAGAATTTGTCAATACCTCACAATGCTAAACCTTGCTGTGGACACCAAAAGCAAGGAGACCCAGTCAAGACTTGGGTGAACAAGGTCAGGAGGAATCTTCAGTACATACAGGTTTGGAACTGGATCTGGTCGCAGCTGGGATATCAGCGAACACACCAGCGAAGTTAGCCAAGTCAACAATAGTGCGAATTATTAAAAAAAGGAAGATGATGAAGAGCGAGTAATCAAATTAAAATATACTACGGATGGAATGTCGAATTGATGCTAATTATTGGGATCGAAAATCGCAACATTTGGTATTTTGAGAACATTTGAATTTTCTGTCGTAAAATTGCTTGAACGATTAGTAAATCTTTAAAATTTTCCATGAAAGATAATTTTTGCTGAAAATCTTTATTTGAACTACCGGCTTTCTTGCATACTTTGGTTTGGCTGACTTCGCTGACCGCGAAGATGATCCGCGCCTTTCGAAGTATTCATCTTATAAAACCATTTGCTTTGGTTATGAACAATTAATAAGTAAGTAAACGAATAACAATGAACATTTCTGCTCTCAGGCTGGCTCATTTTTATTGCCAGTAGAATGAAGCGACTTCTCCAATGAACTTCACAGAAGTACAGATGGATCTCCGTACTGCTAGCACTTGTAGCACGTTTATTTCTGCGGAAGGGGCTCCGAACTATGGCATTCGAAATGGCAATTGAGACCGATTAAATCCTATTAAGTTCTAGATTTATCTTATATTTGAAATTCCGACTAGAAATCGCAATGCGTTTTATTCCTAACCGTACTAACGGCCAGTTGAGCGACCTAATCAAGAAAGGTCAACCACTAACAGAATTAAGCACTGCGCTTTTTCTTTTAAATCATTTCAATAATTTCCGTCGTTCTTTTTTGAAGTGCTCGTTATTATCATTGATTTGGTCAGTAATCGGAAGTCAAGGATTATGTTTGCATTTAAGAGAAGGAAAATCAAGGATTATGTTGTTTGTACAGTTATAATTGATGACATTTCGCATCAAACGACCAGAAAATAAGATTGCATTAAAGAAAACGAGACGGAATATGAAGAATGTTTCATCTGTAAAAGGTCACCACCAGAGATCGGCAAGTTACCTTTCATTGCCAGCAACATTTGTCCATCTGTCAACAAATCGAATGAGTGGCACTAGAATCGATAATGACCGTAAAATGAGGTGACAAAATGACTATCGAAATATTTCTGACTAAACAAATCTGATCCCATTTTAGCGAAATTTTGAGATTTATGAGGTTTTCTATAAATTTCGCATAGGCAAATGCAAGGTATACGCAAAATTCTTGAAACCACCGATTCAAAAATTTTCAGCTATTATTTCTCTTATTTTTATTTCAGAATATATAAAAAAAGAATTAATTTTAAGGTTTTAAAGGTGCTCCGTTTCAGCAGCCAATCGAGGTAACCAAATTGAAAATAATAAACATTTCTAGAAAAGAGGAAAAAGAGAATTCCCTACTCTGGAAACCAATAGAGAATTTCGGAACTGACGGTGCACAAAACATTCCATTTGAATATTACCACTTCCGAACATATTAGTTCTTCATAGTTCAACGAGTACGTGCTTTTATCCTAAAAATTCACCATGGGATCGCATATGTGAAGACTGTTTGTTCTTAAAGTTGTCATCTTAAGTGCCATCAGCATAATAATATGGCAGTTCTCTTGATTCCACTGATTGTGGCCAATTGCATTTATCAGTTCTATTATGATAAAATTTAGGGATTTTACTCTGTAATAGGCAAGAAAATCCAAGTGTTTAAATTGTGTAATAAAAGTGTTCATTTTTAAGGAAATGAACAGCTTTCATCCAATGAAGGAGAAAATTAGATCAAAATTAGAAATTAGCCACACAGCGACCGTCAACCTTTGCGAGATTTTAATTTATAATATTGTTAGATTATAACGCTCTAATTCTTACGAAATATACTTTAAATAATACTTTAATGTAATTCGGAATACATTCAAGTTAAAAGTTGAAAAGATTTTGAAGAATAACTTATGAAATTAGATTACTCCTTTAAGAAAAAAATTTATTAACTTATTTCGAAGAAATATTAATGCAATGGACAATGCCGCAATCAAAAGACTAAAATATATTAAATTAAATATTAAAAATATCATTAAAAATACTAAAACTATTCAATAATAGACTTATAAACTTATGGAATAATTGAAATTATTAAAAGAATATTAAAGGTTAAAGAATAGGTTATATTAAAGAATAGACAAATAATTAACAAATTGTTTTGGAGGTTAATGATGCTGGAAAAGTCAAATTTAAATGATGGAAGGCCAACAGCAAATTAAAGAAAAAGAGGTTAAATTTGAGCGAAATGATTTTAAGGCAAAATAAAATATAAAAAATAAACAAGCGAACTATCAGAACAATTTTTACCAGAGAGTTCACTTAGTGGTAGGTTGTCGCCTGGATTTTTTAATGAAAGTTTGCTGCCATCGGGAGAGCAAAAATTGGATTTTCGCAGCATAATGAGCCACTGTCTACCCGGCTATTTTGCTCAAGAACAAGAACATTGGAAAACGACTGAATTAATTACATATTTTATGATATCCATTATCGCCTTAATTGGATGTTTATTCAGTTTTCATAGTGAAAAATTTAAATAAATGAGTCGTTTATTGTTATCGCTGAAACTCTCTGGTATACTTGTTCAGTGCGACAAACCAGCGGAATATAATGGTGAGGATTTTTAAAAAATCGCTGAAGCAAATATCGTGTTTTTCTCGTAACGAGAATAAAAATTTGCCGTTGAAAGAGAAAACACTTCTGGGAGTTCACCTGTACCTCTATCTCCATGTGACTCTCTGTTAGAGACAAATAGAACTCACAACAGCAGTCACGCAATTGAACCAAACTAGAAATGCTGCGAGCTACTGTGAAAAGAGCGACGTATTTAAGACTTGGTCGCTCGAATTCGAATCTACACTTTTCATCGCAACAAAATGTCTCCAACAAATTAAATAAATACGTAAAAAGAAATATAATCACGTCAAAATATGGGGGAAAGAGAGAGGGAGGGGGTGGAAAAGGGGCTTTACTGCTTGGATATTAATTCACTGGCGAAGGATTAGTCTTATAATTTGCAATTAAGAATAATTATGGCACATTCAATAATTTAGAGTGATTCAAGCACTCTACTCGATTCCCCAGCGTGATAAAAATGAGCGTACCATTAAGAAATTCAGGCTGCTGGCGACCCAACTGCATTTTTATCGACAACTCCTTGGTAAAAGGAATTTTCTAAACGAGCCAACGGAGAAAGCCTTGCAGAAATAATAATTTAATTGAATCGTTCCTAAAATTTCCTTCCTCGTTTCTGTCGAGAAATGAAGCAGAGTAAAGAATTTAAAGAGTAAAATTTGCAAAATAAATTTTAAACTGAAATTGTATGGAATTTATCGATGTGTCCGTCGATTATAGGTCGTGATGATTTAAGATAATCAAATTTAATGGTTGATTGCAGAAATCTGAAAAGAGATTCGTCGAGGTATTAGTTGATAATATTGCAGCTAATGCGACGAGAAGCCGCGAAGAGATCTTTTCGCAAACTTCGCCACTCTCTTCAATATTCATTCCAATCAGATTTATCTAAAAATTTCCCAATTTACGAAAATTTCCTCACCATTTGACTTCTAGCATCCTTTCGCAAAGTGCCTTTCCGCAGTCGATCCTCGAATCGCATTCAAAGGCTTCTCGAAGTGAACTCATAATGATTCGCCTCATTTGCGCTTTGCACATGGACAAGCATTGTTGTAACGATTGGCCAAAACTTCAGCAATTTTGTTAGAGAAGATTTGAAGAAGGAAAAGTAACTCTTAAGCGAATAAATATTTAAAGAATTTCTTAATTTTTCTGACACAGTGAATATCGATAGATAAAGCGAATATAAAAAAGTGCTCTTCGGAGATTTTCGATAATTTTTAGGATTGCAACGCGCTGTTCGGAGAAAAACTGACTGGAACATTCCGCGTTTCTCATTTTTCTCATTTTCGTCATTTTCTTCTTTATTTGACGGTAATAATTCGGCGTTTATGAGCAGATTTAGAGAATTTTTCATCGATAAGCAATATTCTAATCGAAAAAATGCAAAATAAAGCAGCCACTCTCTGCACCGCATTTCCACTTCCACTGCGTAGCCGAAATTAGCTGAGCCGTTCATTTCCCACTGCCTAAGCTTGTCTTTGCATCACCTGTGGGCTCACAATCTCTGCTAGAAAATACGGCCGTAAGGTAAGAATTTCGCCGGCAATCCTGAGCTTTAAATGCACTAAAAAATAAGCTTTCCTCTCCTTTGGCCAACGAAAATGGGCACGGCATTTACAAATGATATTCACTGTAGAGCATCCGCGCAATACAGTAAGCCTTCACATTTTTTTAACAGCACTCACCATTGCCGATCGGACTCGCTCCTCTGGCTTATCGCAAGTACGCCAGGCATCCCTCTGCGATAGAAGTACAGGTGAGAAGTGCTGGCGCCAGCATCACCTGAAGTATTCTGCTAAGTCAACTTTAGCATTTAATATGAATGCTTAATTCTTCTCAAATATTAACTTCTTTGCTATTAACTTTAAGAATCTATTTCATTCTCTATGAACCAAGAAGAAAACAACCGCGGCTGGAAGTCAAAAGTTAGCGGCTAGCGGTCAGAAATGAAAACATTCCCGAAAGCACCCTTTATTCTAAAAGTAACACTGCTGTGGTACCACTGCTTGCATTCTTAGAATTGCGCGTAAATCCGACATTGAACTTCTCAGAACCAAAAAAATGAACCCCACGTTGTTCTACTTTATTTGGCCAGTAGCACTTAACTGCGGTCACGTCCCATGTCAGCTTCGCATAGCCAATGTACAATTAAAATTTTATCTTGAAACGAATTCTTTATTACTGTATGAAAATATTTGTAGGAATCTATTAGGCGCTATTTCTTTAATTTATACTTTGTAGATTATTTTGCTCTTTTTTGTATTTTATTTTTTAATGCTTTAGGGTCCAATTTAATTATATGCAAATTTTTAGAAAGGGAGGAAAAAGTCGAAAATGAATCGATTCAAAAAGCAAGTCGAGACGGACACAATGACGCGCATTGCAATCGTCGAAAAGGACCGTTGCAAACCAAAAAATTGTGGCTTAGCGTGCAAAAAGTCGTGCCCAGTCGTTCGAATGGGTTATCGTTTTATTTCCTTAGTGATTAAATTTGTTTTCCATCATTTCGCACCATTTCTCGTTCCTTCAGCTTTATCGGTCAGCCTAGCACCCTTCTTGACTGAGGTTGACTGACTAATCTCCCTTTCCTACTAGCTAAATTCAGTGGACCGTCTGGACAGCTACGTTTGGCTGCTTATTTCGCTTTTGGTGCCATCCATTACGAGTCACTTCATTAAGTCACTTCATGTGGAGCGCAAAAAACAATAGGCTTATCCAGCCCATTTGTCGCCGTATGATAGTTTGTGTGACATACAGCCGATTCATTTATTTTTAATAGATTTTTAACGAAAGTGCGAATCTATAGAGAATACTTTTCCTCTATCTTTCTCTATCATCACTCACAATTTCTGGCTAAGCTTATTCCATTGGTTTATCGGACCAGTGCCGCGGGGTCATTCGATAGAAGTATAGAATGAATAACCAGTATATGGATTTTTAAAAGACAGGTTCATTTCTGCGAGTCTCCGAGAGTGAAATCTCAGGGTCGGCACTCGGGATTTAAAGCAATCATTAAGTTCTCTTTTGCCTATATTCTTTGTTCCTTATTCATTTTGGTTCTCATTATCATTTCTATCACTAATATCACTCGTTATTTAATATTGCATTCTTGCCAATAAACTTTTCTTCTATTCTAAAAACTCTACTGTATAGAATTTTAAGTCGGTTACGAATAATTCTGAATAAATATTTTTTTAGAATAGGAATTATATAAAGTTTTATTCTAAGTTTTTGATTCCGATTTAAATTATTCATCAAATGATGATTACATTTTTCTTTGTTTCAGGTAAGCAATGTATTATTGTGGAAAGTAATGCAAAAATTGCCGAAATCTCCGAAACTCTTTGTATTGGTTGTGGTATATGTGTTAAGGTTACATTACTTTCTTTTATTTTCTTTTTGCTTCTTGTTTGTTTCTTCTATTTTTGAAAAATCGTGTATCAGTTCTCTTTTGCAGAAATGTCCATATGATGCAATTAAAATAATAAATCTACCAAGTAATCTGTCAAAAGATACTACTCATCGCTATAGCCAGAATTCTTTCAAACTTCATCGATTGCCAACTCCAAGAGCTGGAGAGGTTTTTACTTGGGTTTTTATTGTTTAAGGCTTTTATTCAGTTTTGATGTGAAATCTTGAATAGGCAGATTATTAATAAAAATACTTATGTTTAGATTCTGGGTTTGGTTGGTACAAACGGAATTGGTAAATCGACTGCACTAAAAATTCTTGCTACCAAAGTGAAACCAAATTTGGGGAAATTTGATGTAAATTTATAAAATTTTTCAAATTTCCAAGTTAAATTTAAGTTACATTCTTTATTTTTGCAAGAATTTTTAATCTGCTTCACATATTACTTCATTTTCTATAGATTTAAGGCTCCTCCTGATTGGCCATCTATTTTGGCATACTTTCGAGGCTCCGAATTGCAGAACTATTTTACGAAAGTTCTCGAATACAACTTGAAAACAATTATAAAGCCACAATACGTGGATCAAATTCCTAGGTAAAATTCTTCAAATGAATATCAGTCGTTTTTAGAAACTGCTTTATTAAAAAATTGCTTCATTTGCTTGAAGACAAATTTGTTTTGTTTTTGTTTATTCATTTTTAAGAATTTTATCAGTGGTGTATTAAATTAAGTCTTTAACGTGTCTTTTATCCGTGTTTATGTATAGAGCGGTGAAAGGAAAAGTTTATGATTTATTGGCTGAAAAATGTGATCGTGGCAATTTGGAAGAAATAATGGAAGAGCTTGGTAGAGTTTGTTCATTCATCTTTCTTTTTTAGTTTCTTTTTTTGCTTGAGATATATAATTGACTATAAATGAAAAAGTGTTTTGAACTTAAAGGGTTTTTCCTACTAAGGGACGTTCCCTTTACGTTTTCTTCGAAAGTTGTTATGCTATTTTGGCTCCCCCTCCATTTCATTGTAACCTGGATCTCTCTCTTTTTTTGCGAATTTATAATTTGTGGCTGCAGTAACGCAAAATTTAGCATAGCATTAAGGTCCAGCACTAATTTGTTGAGAACTATGGTCACGTCTAAGGCTATTGTTGGGAAAAATGGTACAGAAATGCTTAAAAAAATATTATTAGGGGGTAAAAACTTTAGATGGGTAATGCGAAAACATAATAGAGTTTCCGACGATGATGTATATTTAGAGAGGCTTATAGGGATTTTAGCAAAAAGCACATTTTAGGTTTATCGAAGATATTATTTCATGTGCGAAGATTTTCCAGTTTGATGGAATAGTAGATTGTTATACAGAAGATGTTTCAGAACTTATTGGAGTGAAAGATCGGATGTTAGACCAGTTATCTGGAGGAGAACTTCAACGTTTTGCTATAGGAATGTGTGTCGTACGGAAAGCCGATGTTTACATGTTTGATGAACCCTCAAGTTATCTAGATGTGAAGCAACGCCTTAAAGCTGCCAAGATAATACGAGATATTGTGAGTCCGACTAAGTAAGTTTTATTTTCGGTTTTATTTCTCATAATGATTGGCTTTTAATCATTTCGGAATTATTTTTACTATAAGCATTGTGCTTTTCATTACGATTTAGTTGAGTATTTGTTTAGTTAATTTAGATTATCTTTTTTTCTTGATTTTCAGCTATGTCATCGTCGTCGAGCATGATTTGTCTGTTCTTGATTATTTATCTGATTTCATTTGTTGTCTTTATGGAGTACCTGGTGCATATGGTGTCGTTACTTTGCCTTCGGGAGTGCGCGAAGGAATCAATATATTTCTAGATGGATTTATTCCTACTGAAAACATGCGGTTCAGGTATGAAAAATTTGATTTTTTGCTATATTTATTTTTCTCCAAAAAACATTTTTTTTGGACCTTTGAAAATTTTTTCATCAGTGATTTTCAGAGATACGCAATTATCATTTAAAGTAACAGAACAGGCTGAAAAAGAAATTGTCAAACGTAATGCTCGTTATTGTTACCCTTCTTTTAAAAAAAAAATGGGTAACTTTGAGTTAACTGTCGAAGGTGGCGAATTTACTGATTCTGAAATTATAGTCATGTTAGGTGAAAATGGCACTGGAAAAACAACTTTAATCAGGTTTTCTTATCAGTCAATTTGTTTTTTCCTTTTTCAAAAACTGCTGTCGTATTATAATTTAATTTTCTTTCAATCAATTTGTTTTTTTCTTGATTTGATTTGATTTGAAAACCTGATTAAAGGATTGAAAAACTACTGCCTTTTTTATTTTAGGCTATTGGCAAAAAGTTTACCAATGGATGACGATGATGTTCAACTTCCGCAACTAAACATTTCTTATAAACCACAGAAGATTAGTCCAAAGCATCAAGGATCTGTTCGGCAGTTGCTTTTCCAGAAAATTCCGGATATGATTAATCATCCACAGTTCAAAACAGATGTGGTTATTCCACTTATGATTGACAATATCATGGATTTAGAGGCACACTTTACTGTCTTGAAAATCATAATTTATATGTTATAAAAACCTTTTTAAATACTACTGCATCATTTATAATTTTCTTCGACTATGTATCATATTTTTAGGTGCAAAATCTTTCCGGTGGTGAGCTTCAACGGGTCGCTTTGACATTATGTCTTGGCAAAACTGCAGATGTATATTTGATTGATGAACCCAGTGCTTATCTCGATTCAGAGCAACGATTACATGCAGCTAAGGTTATTAAAAGGTGAACAAAGTTGAAATGTACATTTTCTATCAGTTTTACTTTCAGTAAATTATTTTTTTCTTTACTAGGTTCATTTTACACGCTAAGAAGACAGCTTTCGTAGTCGAGCATGATTTTCTAATGGGCACTTATTTGGCTGATCGAGTTATTGTTTTCGATGGAAAACCTTCTAAATGCGCGAAGGCGAATACGTAAGTAATTTTATTAGTGTCGTTGAGTTGGTTCTTTGTTTCATATAAAAGGCTTTAAATTTTAGAACATTTTGAATTTTGAGCATTTTAACACTGGTCTGTTAAAATAATTTATTAAAATTAAAATAATATGAAGTTGATTTTCAGGCCGCAGTCGTTGCTTGAGGGTATGAATCGCTTTCTGAAACTTCTTGATATTACTTTCCGACGAGATAAAGACAATTATAGGCCAAGAATTAATAAAAGAGATTCAGTGAAGGATATGGAACAAAAAAGGAGCGGAAATTATTTCTTTCTAGATGATTAAGCTATACCTCTTTCACCTTTCTCATTTTTTCGTTTTTTTCCTATGTTTTCTATTCTTTCTGAATTATTTATTAGCTAAATTATTTAATAATTGCAGTTTCTGCTATAAATATTCGAAAGAATCCTTCGTTTTTGCTGAATATTTATAAAAATGCAGAAATTTTTATGTCTGCTTTAATATTTGTTTGGAAAGGTCTGTTAAAGAATTATGATAAGAATCATAAAGAATAATAAAAATTACACAAATTTGATAATCGAGATGCGGGATAGGATCTCTCTGTGATTGCTATAAGTGAATTAACGATTAAACAATCATGTTAAGATTAAATAATTATAGTGAATTAAACTAAAATGGATTTGGCTGATTTTTCTATAATCTCCTAATTCTTTATCGACTGAGGGTGTAACTGGCTTTCCAGAAAGAGGACAAGTTGCTAAGCTAGCGGAAAAGTCTGGGATATATTTCGATTGATTTATTAATTGATTATTGGTTGATTTTAGTCATTTCGGTTTGTAAAATGAGTTGTTATTTATATTTTTTCATAGTTATTTTGTTTGTTTTTAATCGACTTTGGTAGTGGAAAAATGATTAATAATAAAAATACTTTTATTACTATTATTATTTATTATGGGTATTTTTTTACATAGTAATAATGTAATGATGTAATAATAATGAAAACCATTTTTCAAATTTCAATGATCCTAAATTTCGTTTTAATACTTGAAGTTTCTGAGTTGGGAACATTTTGTAATAATTGTAAAAGTAAATAACGAATAGCCATTTAAGTAATGAACGGATTAAGTGTTATATATTGTGATATTTTATTATTTTAGGGTTACTAATTGTTTGTACCAGTTATTTTATTGTTTCAACGAGCCATCGGTTGTCTTTTCCTTCATTTGTTGTTGTTTTCTTTGTCACTTTGGTTTTGCCATAATTCAAATCATTTGCGGCTAATAGCGCGGAATTTATTTGTATTTTATTTTGATATTTATTGTTCAAATGCTTTAGATATTTATTTTATTGATTAAACTGATGAAATTTTGTTAAATCGTAATAAATTTTAATTATTTTATTTTTTACAGAAGCGATGCTGTATCGAATTCAGTGTCAGCTAGCTATCTGTCACATGGAGGGTCTTGCTTTTCCAAGGCATTTCATCTGTTTAATCTAGTCTTAAGTCTTTCCCCTGTGTGTGTTGACGCTTCAGGCATTCTCTCAGCAGCTCATCCTTTGGTACCATATTGTTGGTGTATTCCTAAATGCTTTGGTTTTCGGCCAAGGTAGTGGCTTTGACACTCACCAAGCACCGCCAGCATTCTCTTGATTTATGTACAGTTTTTTATTAGACTTCGGCCGGAAATTTCCATACATTGCCTTTCATTAGTTCTTCTATTCTTTCGCTATGCCAGCTGCGTATTTCCGTATATGACTGGCAATGCATGCATATTTGTGGTTCCCGTTGAGCTCACTCTTCAAAGTATGTGTTATTCTTTGGTGATATTTGGAGATAGTTCTTATCTTTACTTTATCTTTTGCCTCTTTATCATGGTTCTATTGCGATTATGAAATGCCGAGGTACTTTTACCTGTATACCTGTCTGTGCTCCTCTAGTAGGTCGCCATCAGCCTTATTTTCTTATTATTTTTTATCATTTTTCCTTTATTCACTACCATCCCAATCTTTGCAGTAATTTCGTTCTAGATGAAGGAGCGAGTCAATTTTTCTTTCGTTTTTAGCGTAATAAATGTTGTCCATGTGGGGTTTATTTATTTATTTATTGATAACAAGCCAAGCAGGGCGACAACGCCATGTGCTTGTATTAATAATAACAATTAAGATAACAGAAAAAGAAAACACAAAAAAAAAAATGTAACATAAATAAAATTAATTATAAAACAATATGACAAAAATTAACAATTTGAAGAGGAAATTACAGATCAATATAATATAGTACAATTCGAAGTAACATATATAACCTGAAGATAAAATCGAGATTTCTCACTTCCTGCAGTTCTTGCCTGGTGTAAACTCTTCTCTTTTTTTTTTTAAATAATATCGTAAATGATATTATCTAGTCTTTTTTTTAAAGACAGCTAAGGATGACGCGCAAACTACATCGTTCGGTAATTTGTTCCAGTAGTTAATAGTACGAATAAAGAAGTCATGAGTCCTTATTTTATTTTTGAATATTGGTTTTAGTAATTTTAAGCCATTAGTTCTTGTTGGATTCAAATTTAATCTAAAGTTATAATATTTCGAGCAGTCTACTTTAACATAACCATACAGAATCTTATATATGTAAATTAAATTTTGTTTAATTCTACGAACTGAGAGGGAATCCATGTTATGTTGTAGAAGTGTTCTTTTATAATTAAAATTATAATTTTTATTGGGAGAGAGGCGTCTTAGAAAATATTTTTGCTTGATGGTTTATGATAATTTCCGATCTTAAACTTGTCCATTTTTCCATATCTATTTTTGTAATTAACTGTCTGAGAGGGTTTAGACCTATGTAGAAAAATGGTGTGGATAATGCGCCAACTTTTTTGTGGAAATTTTATGGAAATGAACTTTTTATGCTGACATTGCGAAATTCTTTCAGTAGTTCTAAAAAGCTGGATTAAATCCAGCTAGATTGAAGTACTGACCACTGAGAATTAGAATGGGTATTAAGCACTAGATCCATCGAAATAGGGATTCAAGGTTCAGTTTTAGAAACTATCCAAGATGTAGTGGCAGGATTAAGATGTACGCAACAGCATGTCAGCATGAACTGAAAGGCATAACCAAGTAGCTGGTATCATCTACAGGAATCTGTATGTGACGCAGAATTAGATGGGAGATTTTCCAGAAAATCATAAAGAATGATAAGGTCAAAGTCCTTCGTCCAGAAAACACAAATGGTGACCAGTTATCCTGATAATAGACAAGAGCCAACTATCAACACTGGTGATAGTTATAGCAATATCAAGTGATAAAAATAAAGGAAGGAACAAGGAATATGGGAAGCTAGAGAAATAAAAGAGGAACTAAAAAATAAATAAAAGACAAAATGTGGAAAGTGAAAGCCAAGTAACCCCAGTGATAACTGGAACAATAGGAACTGGGATCTAAACTAGAGAAATGGTTCAGCAAATTCCAGGAACAACATTAGAGATCCTCTATCCAACAGAGGCATTATTAGGAACAGTTAAGATATTACGCAGAACTCTCCTCTTTTAGGCTTATGGTAAAGGACCTATGGAGAAATTTATTTGGTGATTGAATTTGGGGCAGTCGATTAACAAGACGAAGTATAGTTCTCTCGACGAAGATGTAGAGCAAAGGATTTTATTTGTAATTTGAGCTTACATCTCAACATAAATATATATAGAATTTAATACATGAATATATATAGAATTTCGATTAACACAAAAATTAACACATATTCAGTGGTTTATGACAAATATTCCAACAGATGTTCATTTGAATAACAAAAAATCGTAAAGAATCTGATTACAGTATAAATTGTAATAAAATTGGTCGAGATAAAGGATTTTGCATGTAAATTAGTTTTTTAGCCATAAAGAAAAAGGATGTGAATTTTGTTAAATCAAGCTAACAAAAAGAACGCATAAAAAAATGACTTTAGGAATGTAAAATCGGTTACATGATTCATGATATTTATTTATAATTCGAACAATTTTATTTCATTAATTTGGTTCGCTATTTGCGACAAGACCCGAGGTTGAGGATGACCTTTACTATCCACACAGGGAAAGGATTTATATATTGCATTTTTTATAGCAAAAAATTCCAAAAATTTTTTCTTAAAGTCCTTCAAGGCAACAAAATTCCTGCAAACATCAGAAAAAGTTCAAAGATGATAAATTATAGAGGGTATCCTATCCCTCTAGAGGCAGCTCAGAACATAATTTCCCTTTTCAAGCAACAAAGATATTGAAGGTAGCACTGAAGCATTTACCAGTGAACAGAAAAATATGTGCTAAGCACTACACCCATCAAAACAAGGATTTACCAGATCCAACAGGGTTCAAGGTGCAGATTATGCAAAAGCCCCAGAAACGGTCGGAGTGGCAAAATGTAAAATGCAAGCAGGGACAGCATACATACAATGAAAGGCTTAACCAAATAGTCGGTATTACCTGCAAGAATATCTGCTCAGTATATGACTTAAACCATCCCAAGAATAGGTACGAGATTCCCAAATCTTCTAGTTTGGGATTTTAGTTTTGCGGAAACTAAATAATAGTGAAATTTGCTAATTTCATTTTCATTCTAAATGAAGATCCTTATTAGTCTTTTTTAAACAACATTCATTTTTAAAAAACTTGGATAATTTTATAAAAATATTTTGTGGATTTTCAGTCGAAAATATTGATATGGTCGACAATATTAAACGTTACATTTTGGAAAATATTCATGAAACAAGAAGAATAAACGAGATTCATAAATGAGATTTTTTATTTTATCAGCATTTTTCACTTTACTTTTTCTTCTAATAGCTCTCACCATTACAGATTAGGCTGATTCCAACGGATACAAGGATAAGACGCTTCCAAGCGGCATGTCTGATCATCGGCAGTAATAGAAGCCATTTCTTTTTCCATCGTCTAAGTCCATATTTTGCAGGTCCACCTATAAGTTCAAAATCTTTTTTGACGGTATCAGTCCAGATTTTGATTAGCTCACTTCGTTTTTGACGCCACCCATCACACGGTTTAGAAAGAAATATGCCTCAACTCTTGTGGTGGACGACGGAAAACGTGTCCTAACCAACGAAGGTGACATTATGTGATAATATTATTTATGCAAGTGGTATTTGAATGAAGGTGGATGCGATCTTGTGAGATTTTATCCACTCGGCAAACCCGTAAAATATACCTTAGACAAGAGTGGTCAAAGGCAGATAACTTCTTAATATCCTCCACTCTCACTGGCCATGTCGTAGAGCCATATAACAAGATTGAACGGATCATGGCAATATAGATGCAGACATTCGTTTTTATGGTGATTTCACGACTGCTCCATAAAGGTTTCGTCAACCGGAAGAATGCATTTCTAGCTGCTGTAATTCGAGTTGTAATATCTTTTTCCTGGCCATTTGGTATTTGGTATTTGGTAATGAGTGGACCCAAGGTATTTGAAATTGGGCACTTTTTCAACCGGCAATGAATTTGCAAAAAGAGGCATTTTATCAACTTTTGCACATAAGATGAAAAGGCTTTCGTTTTATTTACATTGATTCCGATTCTCCCTGCAGTTGCTAGCTCGTTATTTATTTTTACTTTACGTCATTTTTTACTTTACAGTGCTTCTCAAGTGCTTTTTCTTCAATTATTTTATTTTTTAAAGAAAGAATCTTTTAACAAAGTCAATTTTCTTTCAAGTTATTTTTATTTATTTTTATTTTTTTTTATATTTTTATTTTTACAAAGTCAAGTTATTTTTTATAAAACGCGTTTCGCTTTCGGATTCTCTCACGTTTAACATAACCCTACAAAGGAAATATAAAGATTTGTTGCCGACCGCCATTGCAACTTTTGACATTATTCCCTTTATGTTTAGTGTTGAGACACCAGCACATTGGTCCAAATGTTTTTATAAAGTTTGGGCCGTATTCCTAGAGCTCACTTGCTTTGGCCGTGTTTTCTCAAGTTTTTCGTCTTCAAACTTTTCCACGATTTTTGCATTTCAGTTGGTGACTGACGAACCGGAATTTCCTCATTTTTGTATTTTTTTCTATTTTTGCTAGTTTTTGGATATTTTTGTTTCAAACAATTTGTATTTAGACTATCTATTATTTAATTCATATTTGAATGGTTTCCACACGGTTGGACCCGTTTCATTGTACTAAAACGATTGGAAACTTTCATGGGGGTTATCAAGCAGAATTAAAAAAATCTCTCCCTTCACCCAAATATTTTTTCTATAAAATTTCACAGGAATTCGAAGAAATCGTTTGAAAAAATCAAATTAAAATTACAGATTGCATAATATTAAATACTCAAATGTTATGGAACTAATTTGTTTCGAAATTATGAAATTTTTTATTCGATCAGCGCAATTCAAACGATTCGCCATAATTTTTCAAAATTTTTCCAATGTCAGTTCAAAAAAATTAATATTTTCTCGTAATTCTTATCGACCAGCAGCCTTTCCTAAAAGCAGCCGTACCTTTCATAAAAGCAATTATGATAAAGGTAAGCTTTTTTATTTTGTTTTTATTTCACTTTTCTCAGTTACTAAGTTCTAACGAAAAGAAAAATAATGAATAGGGATAAAAATATCGAAACACCAACTGATAAGACCAATTGCACAACGACAAGTTTCCTTATCTCGTAATGCTAGGAATGTTTAAATGGTTTCCTTCGATAATCTGTAGAGGTCGCTTCTTTTTAAAATCTTTTATTCCAATAATTAATTGTAGGAATGATTTATAATTTCTTCGTGCAGATCGGCTTCACTATGGTGATTTCGCTTATAAAGACTATTATATTGTTAACCGAACAAATTTAGGATTTATAGCCATAGTCTGATCTTAGCGTTGTTACGTTGTTATATTCTTTATATTTTACTTTTGTGAATATCCGAGTTTCCAGTTCTTTTCAATTCAGGAAATATTTAATAGCCTGGAAATTATTAATTAATTAATTAATTTGATCAGAGTCCAGAACGTATATTTGTTGGTATATTAGAAAGTTATTTTGGGCCAATGAGATCGAGGAGACCGAGGGAAATCATGTGCACTTTTCTTCCTTTTTTAACTCTCCCCACCATTCCACTGAAAAATTTTCCCATTACTTCTCAATGAGATATTTCCGTCTCATCGTTTTACTAATTTTTTCATAAGTGAAAGCAACTTTCCCCGAAAAATATCCTTTTTTTGTGGTAATAAAATGCCTAAGAAATAATTATTTTTGAATAAATTTCGGATATTTGGTAAATAAGAATGATTTTGGAAGGATAGCAAAATCCAATAAAAATAAGTATTGAGCACAAAAAAATTGGTCCATTAATTAATTATTTAATATCTCAAAGACTTGTGTCATCTCGGTCGATTATTTCAGATGTTGAACTCTCAAGGAAATATCAGAGGATTTCTCCTCTGGAACATATTTTGTGCAGACCGGACAGTTACATTGGATCAGTTATTGTCTGCGATAGTCAAGTAAAATTTTTCTTTGTTGATTTGCAAATATTCATTTTGATAATTCTTTGTTTTCTCTGCATAATCTTGGTTTCTGCAAAATAGTCATATTTTGATCATAAAATAGCATTAGTTTTCTTTTAGCAAGTTTATTTATTCGATGAATTTTCGAAAAAGATGATTCGAAGGAAAATTTGTTTCGTACCTGGTCTTCTGAAAATATTTGATGAAATTCTAGTAAATGCCGCCGATAACAAACTCCGAGATCCAAATATGAAATGTGTTCGAATAGATGTCAACAGGTGATTTTTCATTGATTTGAATAAATATTAATAACAATTGCTTATAATAAATTTTCTATAAAGTTTTTTTAAAATGCAATTGCTGGTTCCTCTGGCTTGTCATATTAGACAGATTTGCTAGGGAGTCTTTTGACGATAGAAGTGCAGATGAATCGCTGGGAGTAGGACCTCAGCATTGGCACTCCAAATTGAGCAATATCCGCCGAGTCATTCAACTCTTTTTTTTTTCTCCGTTAGGTGATACTGCTGCTCAATGAAGAGTGGTACATCGGCTGCACACAAGCCTCGATTCTTGTCATCTTGCCACTGAGCCACTAAGTTCTAACGAAAAGAAAAATAATGAATAGGGATAAAAATATCGAAACACCAACTGATAAGACCAATTGCACAACGACAAGTCAATTTTCCTTATCTCGTAATGCTAGGAATGTTTAAATGGTTTCCTTCGATAATCTGTAGAGGTCGCTTCTTTTTAAAATCTTTTATTCCAATAATTAATTGTAGGAATGATTTATAATTTCTTCGTGCAGATCGGCTTCACTATGGTGATTTCGCTTATAAAGACTATTATATTGTTAACCGAACAAATTTAGGATTTATAGCCATAGTCTAATCTTAGCGTTGTTACGTTGTTATATTCTTTATATTTTACTTTTGTGAATATCCGAGTTTCCAGTTCTTTTCAATTCAGGAAATATTTAAATTTAGATTATTATTAGATTATTTAGATTATTTTTATGTTTTTTATTTATTTATTGATTTATTAATTTATATTATAGGGAAGATAATATTATATCAGTTTGGAATGATGGTCGAGGAATTCCAGTCGAAATACATCCAGTTGAAGGTGTTTATGTGCCTACATTAATTTTCGGCTCATTATTCACTTCCTCTAATTACGACGACAACGAGATTAAAATTATTGGTGTATCTTTTTTAAACGAATTTATTCCAATAAATATTTTACTGCCTAGCATAATTAAAAATTGATTCTTGATTCTTATTAAAGGCATTAAATTTTAGGTGGGCGTAATGGATTTGGAGCGAAGCTTTGTAATATTTTCAGCAAAGAATTTAAGGTCGAAACAAATTCAAGCCACTCACATCTTAAATTCTCTCAGGTAAATTGATTTAAGCAGTTATTTCTACAAAATTTTCAAAAGTTATTGGTATTATGATGTGATTTTAGCATATGATTTTCATATATCTTAAGATAAAATTTTTGCAATATTTTCTAGATTTGGAAAAATAATATGACAACAACAGAAGGTCCATTGATTGAATCATCAGATGAAAAAGATTTCACTCGCATTAGCTTCAAACCCGATTTATCTAAATTCAGTTTATCTGATTTAAGTGAAAATATGGTTATATTAATGAAGAAACGGGCAATTGATGTAGCGGGGACATTGAACAGTGTTGATGTTTTTTTCAATGGTGACAAGATAATGGTTTGTTTTTTTAAAAAAATTTTTTGAAAAAAAAATTTCATGCTTAATGCAATTTGGATTATTTTTGTTTTAAAAATTATTGGTTTATTTTTCATTTTTGAGAAAGTTTTTTTCATTTTCATCTGATTTTAATTCTGTATAATTGAGGATTGCGATATTCTTTTCCATTAAATATTAAATATTTTAGTTATCAGGATTTCGCGATTATGTTGAATTATTTCTCAATAATTACGACCATAACACCGGTAAGAAAGGTGGAAATTATTCTTACCGTAGTGTAAATGACAGATGGCAAGTTGCTGTTGCTATTAGTGATGATGGTTTCCAGCAAATTTCATTTGTGAACAATATTGCTACACCAAAGGTTAGATTTATTTGAAACTTAACCACAAATTCATACTTCAAAAATATCTGCATATTTGGTGAAGTCGTTATGAATGACTTTGGCTTTTTTATCTCTAATATTTTCCTCATTTAAGGGTGGTCGTCATGTTGATTATATTGTTAATCAAGTGGTAGAAAAGTTGAAAGAAGAAATTGATCGTCGAACTAATGTCTTTAAATCTGTTCGTTCTGAACAAGTATTTATTTTTAAAATTTTTTGAATTTTTTTTTTTTTTGTAGCCTGCAATTCTCAATATTCACAGCATTATACATAAGAAATCATGTAAGAAATCATGCATAAAAAATTATGGATTTAAAAATGTATTTATTTATATAAATATAAAAATCCATTTTTTTCATTTATTTATTTTTTTCAGATTAAGAATCATCTTATGATTTTTATTAACTGTTTGATTGAAAATCCAGCATTTGATTCACAAACTAAAGAATTACTTATAACTTCTTGCAGTAAATTTGGATCCACGTGTATTTTACCAAACTCGTTTTTTAAGGAATTTTTTTCAAAAACTGAAATAATTGAACGCCTTCTGCTTGATATAGATAAACGACGAATAGTAAACTTTTTTTTTGCATATTTTTATTTGCCTTATTTCTTTCGCTTTATTAGGTAGCCTAATTATTTATCTTCTTTATTGAATCGATCTTAACCTATCGTTTTTACTTTTTCTTTCGTTAGTATTTTTTTTATGTCGGTTAATTATTGGAATATACTTCCAAAATTTTCAGAAATTGTTAAACCAGTCGAAAAAAAGCTCTTTATCAGATATTGTCAAATTGGATGATGCTTTATATGCTGGCACTAATAAAAGTTATCTTTGTACATTAATTGTAACTGAAGGGGATTCAGCCAAAGCATTAGCAGTTGCTGGTCTTTCTACTATTGGAAGAGATTATTATGGAGTATTCCCAATTCGAGGAAAGCTTATTAATACTCGGGATCTAGATGAGAAATTGGTATGCTTATAGAGAGTTTATTGCATTCTCGAGATAGAACTGCTGTTACTAAGTGCTATTAATTTTGGAATTTAGGCTTGTGAAAATTCTGAAATTGCCGCTTTAATTCGTATACTGGGTTTAAAATTTGGAGAGGATTATGGGAATGAAGGAAAACGATCTCATTTACGATACGGTCGATTAATGCTTATGACTGATCAGGTGAGGTACTTTTATATAGTCGTATTCGATGTAATTGAAGTATTATAAATACTAATTGGCGGTACATGAATGGAATTTTTAAATAATTATTTTAAATAACTGGGAAGTATCAAAAAATTTGCGTTTCTATTTTAGGATCCAGATGGCTCGCATATTAAAGGCCTTATAATAAATTTTATACATACTTATTGGCCATCGCTGATCCATTCAAATTTTATTCAGTATTTCGTTACTCCATTACTGAAAGTAAGTGGTTTTTCTGTTTATTTTTCTAAATAAACTAAATTTTCTAATATTGTTGAGATCTTACACGATAATTAGTTTGAGACAAAAATGCAAGTTATGTAAGCACCACTTGGGTTTCGCCTTTAATGACAAGATTTACTTCTGCTGGTACTGGAATCGAGCCAGTGAGGCTTTACCTCATTCGAAATAATATACCATTTACCATTCGATCGTTTCTCTTTATTGCAAAAACATTTGCACTTTTTATATTCAGTTTTTATTTCTTGAATTCTGGCTTTTTTTTTAGGTATTTCATCATTCCGGCTCGCTTAGTTTTTATAGTACTAAAGAATATGAAGACTGGAAAACGGCCTGTGGAAACTTTAGGAAATACAAGGTCAAATATTATAAAGGTTAATGCTCCCATTCTCTTTTTAGACTTATTAGTTGAACTCATCGGCGCTACGATTTATTTCCCATCTTCTTTAAGAATTTACAATCTGAAATCTCATTTATGTTCTTGTTAAATTAATTTTAAGGTTTTGGCACATATTAATTTTTAGGTCTTGGCACATCTTCGTCTCAAGAGGGTCGTGAATATTTTTCGCATATTAATCGCCATACAGTAGATCTTATTTCGGATGAATCTACAGATAAAATGATCGAACTTGTTTTTGACAGAAATATGTCTAAGCAGAGAAAAGATTGGATTAATAATGAAACCAAAGTTTGTTAGTCAAAATAATTAATCTTAGCAAGTTTCTTATCGATAATACAGTCCACTTTAATCAATTTAAAAAAATTCATTTTAATCTATTATTCTATTTATATGAAAATCAGTGAAAGATTTTAAATATATAAGTTTTCAGAAGATAAAAACTCCACTCGGATTCGGACAAAAGGAATTCGTTAATGAAAAAACTTATACAGATTTCTTCAATCAAGATCTGATTGAATTTTCTTGTCTCGACCTAAAGGTTAGTCTTAATAAAATTGTTTCAAAGTAGTTGTTAGAAAAACTAATATAAAATTCTTTAAAGAAAAAGTTTTTGGGAGTTAAAATCATTAAAATACTCTTTTCTCTCAGAATACGGATTTATTTCGTTTTGTCGGTTCATTATATTAATTTTTTACTATCTTGATATAATCTTAAGCGTTCAATACCTTCTGTAATGGATGGATTGAAGCCAAGTCAGCGTAAAGTACTTTATACAATGATGAAGCGATTTGATCATGGCGAAATCCGTGTAAGTCAGTTGGCTGGAGCTGTCGCACAGTTTTGTGAATATCATCATGGAGAAGTAAGCCTCACAATTATCTCAAAATTTAAAATTTCAATATTACTTTTTTAAATATAAATTTCGATCGTTTCTTTTTACGTTTTAATTCAACGTTTTAGATGGTAGTTATAGTTTGAGTTACTAATTCACTATACAGGAGTCACTTGTTGAAACGGTGAAAAAATTAGCTCAAAATTTCGTTGGCTCTAATAATATCAATTTATTGCTTCCGATTGGTCAATTTGGAACTCGATCTTTAGGTGGTGATGACTCAGCTAGTGCTCGTTATATTTATACTGGGTTAAAGTAATCTTTTTCGAATTAAATTTTTTTTCTTAAACTGGGTTCGTTCCATTTCTATCTTTCATATTTTATATTTCATATTTAAAGATAATTTAAAGATTATAAGATTTTAAGATAATTCTAAAGGATAAATTTTATAATTTTTATTTCATATTTCATATTTCGTTCATATTTATATTTTTCAGTCCAATCACAAGGATTATTTTCCCTCCTTCCGATGATAGTTTGTTATCATATGTAAAGGAAGACAATAGCGAAGTTGAGCCAGAATGGTAATTTGTTTTTTTCTTGTTTGAATCAGTAGCTTTAGGAGTGATGGTATTATTGATATTGAAACTTGTTGATTTTTTTTCATTATTTTTGGAAATGGAGTCTAGGAATTTTTAACTCGAGCATTTTTTACATTTAACGAACTAGAATTGAGAAGGATTCGATTTTGTCTTGATTTACAGGTTTTGTCCTATAATTCCCATGATATTGGTAAATGGAGCAGAAGGCATAGGGACTGGCTGGGCCACAAAAATTTTGCCGCACTCGCCTTTCGATGTGATTGAAAACATACGTCGTATGATAGACGGAAAAAATTTGCAAAAAATGGTTTTCAATTTTCTCGGAGGATCAAATTGTTGAACAAAATGATGATAAATATGATTCTTTCCTTGTCCTTTTGTAGAATTAATTTACGAAAAGAGCTCAGAAATTGAGTAAAAGAATTTTATTTAAGAATTTATTACTTATATTAAATATTACCTTTATTTATGTTTTAGTTTCCCTGTTATCGAAACTTCACTGGTCGGATCGAAGAACTAACAAGTGATCGGTATAGGATAACGGGAACTGCAAATTTGCTTTCTTCAAACAATAAAAATTTCCTTAAGGTTTTCTGAAAATTTTTAAGTATTTGGATGAGAGGTGAAAGATCTCAAATTCATTGATTTTAAAAATTAATTTAGATCGAAATAACAGAATTGCCTATCGGTATTTGGACTCAGAAATATAAGGAAAATGTATTGGAAGCTCTTAAATCCTCTGGTTTGGTTAAGTGAGCTTTTAATATTAATTTCCTTTCCTCCTTGTCAATATATTCATTGATTTAAAATTTATTGATTTGAATTTTTTTGTTTTCTTCTCGTTTTTTATATTCTTCAAAGGAGATTAAAAGAGGTTAAATTGCTATAAAATTATATAATTTTTTGTCGCAGGAATTATACCGAATCTCACAATGAAAACTCTGTGCACTTCTTAGTTGAAATGATTAATAAAAACAAATTACACTGTGAAAATAAGCCATCATTGTCTAAAATGCTTTCAACGTTGAAACTTCACAACATTCAGAGTTCAAACATGGTTCAAACATTTCCTCTTTTATAGAGATTTTTTTTCCCAAAATATGCCAACTTTATTTCATTTTTTTTCACATTCGCTTCATTTTATTTTCTATTTTTTCTTGCGCATTGGTTTTCTTTTTTTTTCAGGTAGTTTTCAATGCCGATAATGTTTTATGCAAATACAGTCGAGTGGAAGATATTTTAAGTTCATTTTTTGATGTACGCCGTAAAAAATATATAGAAAGACGGAATAATCAAATCGCATTGTTCAGTGAAAGATTAAATTTTTACGGCAATCAAGTTCTTCTTTCTTTATACTTAGATTAGATTAGATAGATTTTTTCTTATTTTTTTTTATGTTAATTTTTGGAAAATTTGAAAGAATATAGGAATATTTTTAAATAGCATTAACAGGAAATATTTTTTTACACTGGTTCCAAAAAAAATATTTTAGGCTCGATTTATCGCTGCAAAGATAAGTGGTGAAATTAAGATTGAAGGGAAATCACATTCTGAAATAGAATCTCAGTTGATCTCCATGAATTTCCAACCATATCCGAAAAATCACTCCATGGTCAACAACTTTTAATTATAATTTTTACTTTCTTAACGTAATAATTATATAATTAATATATTTTTATATTTAATATATTTTCAAATAAGAACCATTTCAGTTAGCACATTTTAGCCAACTTGATGAGTGCCTCTTCTAACAGCTCTTACCATTACTGGTTAGGCTGGGTAGGACGCTTCCAAGCGGCGCGATCTAATGCCATCGTCGACAGTAATAGAAGCCCTTCCTTTTCCCATCGTCTAAGTCCATATATTGCTGGTCCACCTATAAGTTCAAAATCTTTTTTGACCGCGTCAGTCCAGGTCTTGATTGGTCCACTTCACTTTTGACGCCAACCATCACAGGTTTAGCAAACGAAATATACGTCAACTCCTGTGGTGGACGACGGAGAATGTGCCCTAACTAGCGAAGGCAGCGCTCTGTGATAACATTTATGCAAGTGGTATTTGAATGAAAGTGGATGCGATCTTGTGAGATTTTATCCACTCGATGAACCTGTAAAATGTGCCTTAAACAAGAGTGGTCAAAAGCAGATAACTAGTCATCCAGATAACTAGAGGAAGGCTTTATCAATCATTTCTCCCATCTTTTTCTGTTTTTTCCGTTGTCGTACAGAATCCATTTTTTATCTCAAAAATTCCAGAAAAGAGTTATTTTTATTTTTATATCATATTATCAGCGAACAATAGATATCCAACATGTTTTCATTTGATGCTTAGTGGGGTACTCATTTGTCAGTCTTTTCCCATTGGACGAGACTGATTTCCTACATAATGTGAAACTCCAAGCTTCCGACTAAAATCGTACTAAATCTACGCAATTCTTGAGTACCACCCACTCAGCTCCCATCAATTCTTTTATCAATAGAACTTAAGCCATCTGCAACGTGAAGTACCTTCGAGATCCGCATCTTAGAGATTGAATTTCACGAACCAGTCTTGTTTATAGCAAGAATATCGATTAAACTTGTAAGTGTTACAGTTGGAAAGTATATCGACCATTCACATTATCTCACGAATAACACACCAGCAAAAAATAGCTCCATATGGAGATACCAAAAAACGATAAGCACTTTTAAGATGATCTAATAATATTTTTCTCAGCGGCAGAAATTGAGATGAATTTAAAAAATCTTTTGTTTTTTAGGTAAATAGATCATCATACAGATATTTATTAGATATGCCTTTGTCGAGTTTATGTGAGGAAGAAATATGTTTGTTGAATGATAAAAAGGAGCGTAAAGAAATTGAACTGAAATCTTTAATTGCTGCTTCTTGGCAAACATTATGGCACAATGACCTTGATAATTTATCAAATGTTTGTTTTCCTTTGTTATTTATTTCAATGTAAATTTTTTTTGATATTTTTTAATATTGCGAGTGATTTAAAAGGTAATTCGTTAGAATCACTACGTAAATGTATATAATCAAAATATATTAATATGATATAACATGGTTTATAAACGACAAAACAATAGTATGTTTAATTGCAAGAAAAAGGGCAGTCATGTATTCTGTTTTAGCTTTTAGCTGTTATCAAGAATTACGGGTTCGGTTTCTGTCTCTCGGCAAAAACAAACTGTTAAAAGTGAAATCCAACATGCGCCCTTCTATTTCTATTTCTTAGTGAATTTTTTCGAAATATCCTCACAGTTAATAAAATAAACCGAACCGTATTGACAAAACGAAAAAAAGCTATTCAGACATGTTTCCGTTTTTCTTAAATTTGGTTTCTTTGCAGGCTTTGGAGAAAACTGAAAAAGCAAATTATCAATAGGACTTGAAAATTGCAAAAAATTTTTTCATATTGCAGTGTATATTTAATTTCTCTTTAATCTTGTATATTTATTTATAGAAAATTATAATAAAAAAAAGGCTTCATTAAGAGTTAAATCTTTCAATAACATTTTGCAGTTCTTGAAGATGAAATAATTGGAGAAAATTTTGGGATGTTGGACGAGTGCGTTCCATCTTCCAATCATATTTAAATTGCTTTTAAAAGGTTAAAAGAACAAATGTGTGAATCTATTTATAAATTAAAGCGAAGAATGAATTTAGGGCTGTGGTTGAAAGAGTTAAAGCAAAAAATCTGTGGAATGAAAAAGAGCGAGTTAAAATCTCGGGTCTTGGAACGATTTCTTTAATTATGGTAACCTAATTTTGAAATTCTTCGCGGGTTTTTCATTAACTGAGGATTATTTGGTAATATTCGTTTATTTAGTTTTCTTACTTTTGAAGTCTTCGAAGTCTCGCTCAACCTTGGAACTTTCTCTTACTTATTCTAATATTTCTTTGATATTTGTATATCTTAAAAAATTTCGCTAATTTTTTTTTCTAACTCATAAAACGATAAAAGTGGATTTAAATGATAAGCCGTCGAAAATGATAATGAGGATTAGCATTCAAATGTTTTTAATAATTCGCTGAACAATGAAGATTTTCAAAATTAATGACTTAAGAATTTAGTAGGTAATTTGATTTGAAAAATTTAAAAAAAGATAATTTTGCGATTTAAAGTTGAAAAATTATCGTTCTCAAACTTTTATTCGTTCAGATCGCGAGTCCTTGCAGTTTGGGTTCTCATTTATTTATCGGAGAAATGGTGGATTCAACAAAAAATGTTCGTCGAAATTTTCAACGACCCTCACTGTCGTTAAATTCAGGTTTTCTTATAATTTATAATTTTTTTTGTTTATAATTTTCTTGGGAACTACGAACATTTCATATTAAAAATTAGAATAATTGGCATTTTTCTGTTTTTGTTATCAAAATGTCAAAACATATACGGCAGAGAGTCGCATTTTCGGGTGAAAAAATTATAAGGCCTAGAGGATGGATAGGAAATATTAGGGAATACTTATAGAGTTTCCCACTCATATGAAATTATATTTCTTTCTTAAATATGTTAAAATATGTTAAAATTGAAAGTTCTTCCTTTTTTTAAAAAATTTCCTCAAAAATTTCAACTATTTATAAATTTGGGACATTTTTCTTGAAATTAAAAGGAAAGGAAAAAATGAAATCAAAAAAGGAAAAAAGATCAAGTAATCTGATCAAGTAAACATTGAGTTGTTGTTTCATCTGAAACCAAACAACATCAGTTCCTCTCTTTTGAGGATTTATGACAAGTACCATGAAAAATGAAATTGAGCAGTCCATATTTATCTATGAGGCAGTCTGTGATAGGAGGTGGTACTACCTTTTTTTAAGTCATTTTGTTTTTCGTTTCAAGCTCTTGATTATTAAATCAAAATCTTGATTGTAGAAAATGGAATTGAAAATGGTAATACACTGAAGCGAATTCAGCCTAAAAGGCGAGTCAAGGTGAATTTAAATTACAGAAATGATTTATACGATCTTAGTAAATCAGATCTTGATGCGGAATATTGCTTCATTATTTCAAGTCGAAAGCAAAATTTAGAGTCAAAAAAAAATCTTTCTCGAAAGAGAGCATTACCGACTTGCATTGCTGTAAATGTTAATATTTTTCCTAATTTTTATTTTTCTAATTTCGTTTGGCAGGTTTCATTTGATTTTTTTGAAAGATAATTTTAAAAATAATTTTATGGTGGTATCTTTTTTAAGAGTGGTTTAGAAGATGAGGATCGTAATGATGAAGAAAATTGTGAATTAAGAAAGAAACGAAGAGAAAATAGCGATGCGGAATGTAATAATGAAAAATATGAACTGTTGCAAAAGAAAAGGCCGGGTTTTTCAACAAATCGGCATAAATCCGAGATGCCCTCATTTCATTCTGAAATATTTACAACCAAATCGTGTTTTCTGAATGCAAATCGGTTAGAAAGGTAAATAAATGGCAAGGCATCTATATATTTGCAAAATTATTTGACATATTCTCCACTTTTTTTTGTATAAATTATTCATTTTTTAGCCTAAGTTTTACAAATAAAAATATGAATCTGCCACAGTCATCTACCAGTTGTATTCGCAAATGTAAAGCGAATCCTGAATTAAAATTTTCCAAAGTGATCAGAGATATTTACTTTGAAATCGATGGAAACAAATATCAAGTTGTTAAACCTATCATAAGATTGAAAGCGGTGGACGAAGCTATTATGAAGCATGTTTGTTTTGTTTCATTAAAACCTTTTCCCTGGAAATTCTATGTTTTTTTTTTTTTGTAACTGGATTAAAGCTGAAGAAAGTTCTATAATTTAAAAATGTTTATATTATTTATTATTCAATAGTATATATGTATATTTAAGAAGGAAGCTTCATTAAAAATGTGGAAGATTGTAGGCTTGGAAATTTTAATTTTACAGGCTATTCCCTATCGAAAATCCTTCTCTGTCAAGTCCGATGTTAATGTGGATCTAGACATTGCGAAAACTAGCCCAAAGTAAACTCAAATTTATATTTTATTTGTTAAACTCATTATTTGAAAGAAATTATGTGGGAATAAATTATTTTTCTAGAATAGAAATAAAATAAATTTAAAATGATGTGCTTTTTACTTTTTTCTTGTTCTTTTTTTAGATATGTACTTTCCAGTGAAGACCAGGAAATTTCTAGTAATGCAGGTGCTGTTTTTACTATTATTTATTTTTCTAGTTTTATTTATTATTATTTTTAGTCTTTCTTATTTCTTTAGGTTTTTTCTGTTTATTCGTTTTTTGTTTAGGAGAAAAAGTATTTTTATTTTAAATGCAACACAGCGAGGTTGATTCGATTAATTAATTATGAATAAAATTAATTGGGATATTTAGATAAGAGAAAGAAATTATAAATATAAATAATATAAGCATCTGTATCTTGTTTAATATAATTTACAAATGGAATGTCTCCGAAAGTGCCACTTCCACTCTAGGGCATACTAGTAGAAAGTGTGCTAGTTGGGTATCGGAAGCAACTGTCTAGGCCATACTAGTAGAAAGTGTGCTAGTTGGGTATCGGAAGCAACTGTCCAATTGTCGGAAAAAGCTGCCAAAGCACGAATGTCAGATGATCCTGACTACCGAGTGCTTCGAAAATTTGCAACGAAAGCAGCACAATGGGACAGAAATCACTATTGGAGCGATATAGCCTTGAGAATGGAAATAGCGGTTAAATATCGGATAGGTGACAATAAATTATTTCGCCTTCTTCATAAATCAACTATAAATCGGAGAAAGATCAGTGAAATGGTAAGGGACAGCAATGGTGTGCCGGTCAAGAGTATTAAGGACCGCTTCATAAGATGGAAAGAATTCTTTGAGGCTAAACTTAACCATGAAGCACCATCTGTTGACCCTGATATAGCTTATACGTTCGTCGAATCATATGCTTGCAATTGCCAGCCTCCAACAGAAGAAGAAATAATCTCCATTATTCATAAGTTTAAGGCCAATAAGGCTTCGGAAGAAGACGGTCTTCGGGCTGAAATCTTCAAATATTGTCCATCGTCCTTCATAAAGCACCTTTAACAAATGTATTCCATGGTATGGAAAAAAGAAATATTACCAGATGATTGGAGCAAAGCAATTCTGCTCCCAATTCTCAATAAAAGTGATAGGACAAACTGCGACAATTATCGAGAAATCAGCCTCTTAGCGAAAATTTTTGCTTCTCTGTTACTCAACAGACTTATGGAAGTACGAGACAGGAGGATGGGCCCTAATCAAGCTGGTTTCAGACCAGGAAGCAGTTGTGCTGACCAGATATTTACGTTAAGAAGGGTGTTGAAACATTTCTTCAAATATTTGCAACCTACCATGTTTTATCGACTTTGCGGCTGCTTTCGATTGATAGAGCGGCGCTTTGGAGGGTGATTGCCCGCGACGGTGTTCCAGAGAAGGTCATTCGACTCATAAAGGCATTTTATGAGCACTGGTGTTCATTAATGTTGCGTCATTTCTAATACCAAATGGCCAAGAAAAAGACGATATTACAATCACGGCAGCTAGAAATGCGGTCTTCCGGTTGACGAAACCTTTGTGGAGCCGTCTGAAATCACCATAAGAACGAAAATCCGCATCTATATAACCTTGATTTGTTCGATCATTCTATATGGCTGCGAAGTATGGCTAGTGGAGGATATTAAGAAGTTATCTGCCTTTTGACCATATTTATCTGAGGTGCATTTTACGGGTCCATCGAGCGAAGATATTATATGATCGCACCCACCTATGTTCAAATACCGCTTGCCTTGATTGGCGTCAAAAGCGAGGTGGGCCAATCAAGACCCGAACTGATACGGTTAAAAAAGATTTTGAACTTGTAGATGGATCTGCAATATATGGTCTGAGACGATGGAAAAAGAAATGGCTTCTATTACTGTCGACGATGGCATCAGACCGCGTCGCTTGGAAGCGTCATACCCTTGTAGCCGTTGGAGATAGCCTAACTAGTAATGGTGAGAGCTGTTTGAAGAAGAATAAGAAGTCAAAAGTCTAAAATTAATAAATTTCCAAATGAATCGTAAAATATGTGGACAGTCTTTATGTTCTCGGGAATTATTTGAACATTTCTATAAAAAATATAGATTTCTGAATTTAGCGCGTAGATCGAGTCGAAGAAGAATTAATATGCAAAAGTCATTCGTTTCCGTTCAAAAAGCCAATCGTGTATGTTTTATATTATTTTCTTGGAAATAGTTTCTTAATAAGACATCGCGGATGAAAACATTCTAATTTGTAATCCAAGGAACTCCCTGGCATATTTTTCCGATGCGACAAGCCAGCGGAGCGAGAACCAACAATGGGAAATTCTTAAAAAAAAAAGACTAGTTTTTACCAGACATTTTAGCGAAAATATGTCAACTATATAAACGAAGCATATATATAGCCAGCATCACTCTGATTTTTGGGCAGATTTATTCTTGAGGGGAATAGAATTTTAGTTGCTTCGAATTGAGCAACAACCCACTAAGCCATCCACTCTCCGCCATAACAAAAAATATTTGTTTTACAAGTTTATTTCATAAATACGGGAGTCTCAAGTCGAAGTTCGAATGAAATCATCTTGACATAATATTTTCACCTGGAGCAAATTGAGTTTGCTAAACACTTGAAATCATTAAATTAAAAATTTATATTCTCTAATTGCATATAGGATATTGAAAATTTGGAAATGATATGTGCTCGGCTGCATACTTCGGAAATACCAGAAAAACTACCATGTAGAGAAGAAGAATTCAATCGTATTTGTGGTTTTATAAGTAATTCTATAGGTAAGGTAGCCATCTCTCAATCAATGTATATCAGTGGTGTACCTGGTACGGGAAAAACTGCTACAGTTTTACAAGTTTGTTATTAGAATATTATTTTTAAAATAATATAAGTGTAGGAAAAGTTGTTGAAATTATAAAAATAATGTGTGAAGATTTAAATAAACTTTATTAATATAAGATATTTAAATTGATATAAGATAATCTGATCTGATTAACATATATTAGGCGATTAATATTTAGTATGAAGAGAAAAGTACGACTGATTTTTATCCAAGAAATTTAGAGTCTAATTTTATTTGTTTCATTGTGAATATTGAACACTAATAGATTATAAGGTTTTCGCTTTAGTTTACAAGATTCTTTGTGTGAAATTTTGTAATGCAAATTACCATTAATTAACCATATGCTTTTATAAAATTCAAGATTTATTAATTTCTTTCGAAATTTATCTTAATTTGTTCATACAGGAATTTATTTTTGATAGTAATATTCTCATAGTAATGTAGATTCTTTATTTAAATGATATATAATTATGAGATCCTTTAACCGTTTGATATAAAAATTCTCAGCATTTTATTCTCAGGCTGTGCGCTATATGAAATCTATTAAAACAAATCCTCCATTCAATTTCGTAATGGTGAATGCTATGGAACTAACGGAACCAAAGCATATATTCGTTGAAATTTATAAGCAGTTATTCTCGGTGAAAAAAATTTCTCCTTTGTGCGTTTTTATTTCTCGAATTAGATATTGAGGTTTTCAAAAAATAAAATCTCAGTTTACTGTCCAAGTTTCTTTTCCTGTGTTCCTATTCTTTTTTAATTTTCAATAACTTGGTTTATAGCACTGCTCGTCGTAAATTGAATGCGATTCTTCAGTTTAGTGATCCTAATCGCTTACCACTTATCTTACTCATCGATGAGGTGTGAAACTTTGATTTTTATTTTTTTTAAACCTCAGGCTTTTTTCTTATTAATGCTTTTTTTAAATTTATTATTAATTTAAATTGAATTTATTATAACAAAATTGTTGATAGATCGATCTTTTTTGTGCAAAACGTCAAGAAATTGTCTATGATTTATTTAATTGGTCGGCCAATGATGAATTGCGAGTAAGCATATTAGCAATTTCAAATACTCTTGATCTTCCCGAGCGATTCTTCGTAAAGAAAGTTTCGACTCGCGTGGTATCTTTTTTATTTTAATTCGTAAACATTTATTCGTATTTGTTTTCGATGTTTTTTATTTTTTGTTTTTTTTGCTTTTTTTTGGATAATAAATTTGGTTATTAAAAGCTCTATGCGGTTACAGGGAACGAATAGGCTCTGCTTTCAACCATACGATCATAATGAAATAGCTTTTATTATTGAAGATCGATTGAAAGGATCAGCTGCTGTACAAAAAGAAGCTGTTGAATTGGCAAGCAGAAAAGTGAACATTTTTGGCTTTGATATAGTTGTAAAATTTTATATATCATGGTGAAATATTCAATACCTTGGAGTATTTTAAGAGTTAGAGTGCTAATGCAGTGAATTGATTTTAATTTTGCTTTTATTTCATCTTAATTGTTATATTATTTAAACTTTGTTTTAATAGTTTTCTCGGTTTCATTTTCATTTTCAAATATTTTTTTTTAAAGGTTGCTGCGGTATATGGCGATTTACGCAAAGCTTTAGATATTATCCGACGTGCAGTGGAAATTGCAAAAAATTCCAAACTTAATAAAGTTACATTGAAAAACGTAATGTAATTTTTTTAATTTTCTTGTTTTATTCTTTTATTTTTTACTGATTTTTACTGAGTTTTTAAAGCTGAAACATATTACCAACTATTTTGCAATATTGATTTTATCGCCCCATTATTTGTTAGGTACAAGAAGCAATTGAAGAAACATCTTCAACCCCAGCAAACGAGTTAATTCACTCTTTACCTTATCATTCTGTCCTTCTTCTACATGCTGCTCTTAGTGAACAACTGTCTTCAGGTTTATTTATGTTTATTTCGTTTTATTATGTTTATTTCGTTCTATTTTGAAATTATTTCTTTTAACTTTTTGTGATTACAACGAATTTATTTTATTTGTTTCTTTTGTTAAAGGCTTGGATGAATTTCGCTTCAGTGATATGATAAAGCAATATCGTTTACATTGTGCTGACCTTAATTTAACACCTTTGCCTACCAGTTCTGCTTATAAATATGTTGTGCAATTGTGCAGGTACTTTGCTAGTTGATATATTATACTTAATTTTTTTAAATTATATATGGATTTTTTATCCTATAATTCGCATTTGATGATTTTTTTAACTGTAAAAACTTAATGTCAAAAACTTAAGAATAAAAATTTATGTAAACGGTTGATATGTTAATTAAAAACAAAGGTAGTTTTTTTTCCTAAAGACATCAAATTCATATAAAAATTATATAATTCTAATAAAAATTTTTGTTTTTTTAGAATGTTGAAAAGAGAAGTTCTCAATACACGAAGAGGGCTTTTTGTGCGTAGCTTGTTATTAATATTAATTTAAGTTCTTCAAGTTTATTTCTCCTTTTTTCAGTTGTCATTTATTGATTGCTTCTTCTGGAATAGGGGATTGGAATCGTAAAATTCGTTTAGGATTAACAATACAGGATATGCATTTTGCGCTGAAACAAGTTTATGAAAATAAATTCAGAAAATCTTTGCAATGAATTAAAATTTATCAATGCACATTATTTATCATTTGTTGATTTATCACCGATATGTTTGTTTAATTTTTACTATTTTATTCATTTTTGTGTACAGAATTTCAAAACATTGTGGATAAGGCGTGAAAATATGGCTTCTTCTGTTTATAAATGTTTAATTTTTTTCATGTCTTAATTGACGTTTCATAAATAAAATTTTGTCGCATTTTGTAATTATAGCTATTATTTTTAATCTATTTCTTTATCTCATTTATTGTATTATTCTGCTGTATCTTCATGTGCGTGTACCATATCAATTTTTAAATCAGTTCTGTTTTTGTCATTTACTTTTTTTTCTGCTAAGTTTTATAGCATTTATTCAAATCGATAAGTTGGCCTGTATTTTATTTTCATTTGAATAAAATCTTATTTCATTGGCGAAGATGATAAGTGTCGAAATCTGGGTGAGGGTTATCAGGAAATCATCAACAAATGAAATGAGTGCTTTGGAATGATGTGCAGTTTCTGCTGCTTTACGGAAAGTTTAGTTTTTTATGTATTAATGGGCTTTTTTTTTAAATGGAGAAACTCCCCGGTATTTTTGATTAGGTTGAAGTCGGGTGTTTCCGCCTTTCGCGAGCTGATGGGTTCCAGTCTCTCCTCTTTTATATTTGTCTTCGTCATACGACTCAACAATATTCCTATCTAAACTAGCAAGCGATATATTTCCTCGGAAATAGTGGGGATTTCAGAAACAATGGCAATGGCTCCGACCGAAGGCGTAAGGTTGATAGATCGTATCGTCATTCGTTGCCTACTAACGATGTTAATGCGCTATGCTGCATTTACTTAGGAAATATTTCTATAGTACTTTTCAGCCATCCAACCTTCGATATAATGGCGAGCCCTTATTCTTACGGATCCAAATATTTCTATACTAACATCGAAATCGCAATAGGGAGCCAGCCGTACTTTCACCTGGCTGAAACGTCCTAAGCGTCCTGAGGTCATCAACAAAACTAGGGATGGCTAGAGGTGCCTGGAAAGAAACGACTGGCATCTTAGCCTTTCCATTCCATTCAAATGCATTGCTTCGCCAGAATACAAAAATATCTCTGATCAAAAAAACGGTCTTTGGCGATTTCGGCACTTGGATGTGGGGCTGTTATTGTTGGATTTGCACTGTTATGTGTGAGAGTTGTCCTAAAACGATTGTTTACTCAGAATAAGAAGAGTTGATTTATTTATTTTCGTATTGATTTTGGTAGGTTTTTTTCGCTATTTTCTTGTTTTTTTATGGCGGAAAATCGCTAATTTGTATGGATTTTCCTCGGATGGCGATGCGTATAGCTAATAACCTTCTTTTCGTCCTTAATTTTGCAAATTGTTGCGAAAAAAGAAAAAATCCGAATTTGTTATTCAAACAATTCGATTTCTTTTTAGGTTTTAGTGGTTTTTATCAGTGAAAAATAAATTCGGCGAATTAGATTGGATGAATTTTAGTGAGTGAAAAAGCCGACCGAAAATTAGTGGGGCGTTTCAAAATAAGGCGAACTTGGCTGTGCAGTAGGAATTTAAAATTTTCATTAAGTGAATTAAATCTCGGATGGCGCCGCCGTTTCTCCGAACAAATATTCCCAAATCCTCGCGGAATTGCGCGCGTGTTTTCGAATAAACTTTTTAGCATTTTTTAGCATTCATTTTCTGATAATTTTCGTCGATCAATATTTGAACTGATAATTCGTTAGTTCGCTTAAGATTTACGCATTTATCCGAAATTAAGGTATTCGTGAATAAATAACAATTTGTTCAAAAATTTTATTGGCTAACGCTTTAGAAGAAAACATTAATATGTTTTTATTATCTTAGATGAGTTGGAATTTAACATTTCAAAAAAAAAAAAGAAAACTACTATTTTCTATTTGACAAATGAAAAAAAACAAATTTAAATAAATCATCCTTTTTTGATTCTCTTTTTTGTGGAGAAGAAAGGTGAATCGATTCGAGTAAAACGCGCTGTGAACTCCGAAATTAGATTTTATCTCATTTTTTTTTGTTTTTTTAGTAATTTCGGAAAGATTAATTTTATAACAACGAAATTCTTCATTAAGCGCCTTATCAGCAAAAAATATCTTTGATTTCTCGATATCTTATGATGGTTTTCAATCTTTAAAATTAAAAAAATTATTTAAATGTAACATTCTTTGTTTTTCGACGTCTTTTAAGCGGAATGCGTTGTGTTATAACGCCTAATTTTTTTTTTTTTAGTTCCTAGCTTAATTTACTATTTAAAATATAATGGTTTAATATGAATAGATTGTAACTCTGGCGAACATCGTGCAACGGTTTGGTAGTCGCGTTCGTGAAGCCCTCGCGACTGCATCTGAAGGTATTTCAAATGTTTTCGCAGATTATGAACAAGTTTCAGTGAGTTTTTCAATCATCATTCACTTTTTTGTCGCTTTTGTTTAATTTTTAGTTTTCAATTTTATTTCTGAGTTCTTTTTCGTTTTATTTGAATCTATTTCTAGTTTCTTTTACTTAGAGTGATTTAATTCGTTAAAGAATTCTTCTTTAAGTAATTATATTAGAAATTTAAGACTCCAGTTGAATCGATGTCTCGTTTTATAAAAGAAATGAAGCACAAAGGTATGGCAGGTTTGTCTTCCGAATATCATCGAATCGACAATTCTGATTCACTCTCTGGAACGTGTAAAGCGTTCACTTCGAATATGAGTAAAAACCGGTATTCAGGTAGTATATTGGTATTCTAATTTGTTAATTTAACTAAACAGTGAATAATTTCTATTTTTTCTAGCTTAAATTTTTTATTAATTTAATATTTCACATTTATTTGGTATTTTTTAGATGTATTATGCTTAGATGAAACTCGTGTGCAGTTAAAATTTGGTCCTAATTCAGCTGGAGATTATATTCACGCCAATCATGTTGTATTCCCAGAATTACAAAATAAATTTATTTGTACACAGGTTAATTAACAGATTTATTAATTTATAAATCTGTTGACAGAATTGTCATTTCTTTATATGGATAGGTTAATTATTTTTTATTATGTCGAATTCGAATGGCATTCGTTAACGCACATGTTTTGGTAAATTCGTCGCTAAATTTGAAGCATAAAAATTTTCTTAATATTTAATATTTTGTTTTCTGTTTTATTAAATTTTCAGGGCCCTCTTCATTCCACCATAGATGATTTTTGGAGGATGGTTTTTCAAGAACGTGCTGAAACAATTCTCATGTTATGCAGGTGATTTTAATAAATTTTCCATTTTTCCTCGAAAAAAATAAGGATAACAATTTTGAAATTCTTTTCTAGTTTTTACTACATTTTTCAATGGATTTTTTAATGTGTTAATGATTTTTTTTAAAGACCTTCTGAAGATGGTAAAGCTAAATGTGCTTTATATTGGCCAGAATCTGGTGAAAAATTGAAACTTAATAGCGTAATAATAGAAAATATCGGTGAAGAGAAAACTGATTTTGATACAACAATCTTCAAAGTCAATCTTAGTGAAATTTATAAAGGCATTCCAAATATCAGCAATGATGCCCTCATCGTAAAACAACATCGATGGATTACGTAAGTGCCAATTAATGATTCTTTATAAATTATCCATCTACCCTTACTTTTTTCATTTATTTCTATTGTTTCAAAATTGAAGAAGATATATTTATATATAAATATTTTTTTTTAACTATTGCATACTCGGCGATAACGGTATTGTTGCAGTATCCTTTTTTAGTTGGCCTGATCGTGGAATTCCATCTCATGAAAGTGCAATGGTTCCACTGAAGCTACTATCTTGTGTAAGGAACACCAGTGGTCCATGTATAGTTCATTGTTCGGCAGGAATAGGAAGAACTGGTTCTGTAATTGCAATAGAATTAGGTATCCGGCGTTTTCATGCAGGGAGGAGAGTAGATCTAATAACAGTAAGTTATTTTAGTAATTTATTGATAATATTGATATGCTATAAGTTTAATTATAATTTTAACAAATTTTGCATTAGATTGTGGAAGATCTTCGACGAAAAAGGGCTCAGTGTATTCAAAATGAAGTTCAATATTTGTATGTTGGTCGTGTGCTTGTTGAATATGCTTTAGTTTCTGAGGAAAATTTGCCTATCGATGTTCGTCATTGCGCAGAGGAATTTCTTAAAGAGTATGACAGTAAAATAAAGAATACTGTTTGACTCTTTTCATTCAGTGGATTACGAAATCTGCCAAAAAAAATGATTCTTTGCCTTTTTGTTTTTATTCTTATTTATCATGGTAAATTATTACTTATTCCATGTTGTTTAGAATTTATTGCCCAGTGATGATGGTTTTATACTCTTGACTGGAATGAATGGAAATTTAGGCTTTTTTTTTAAATTCCTTGCTAATTTTTCTTTGTGATGGTTTTATTTCTTTTTATCTAATGGATGATTTATTTTTTTGTTAGGTAGTAATTAATCCTTTTATAATTTAATTTTTATTTTATTTTATAAGTGGTCTTTTTATTTCGCCTCTGTGCTCTAAAAATGTTCGACCCAAATTATTCATAATCATTTTTTTGAAAATACCTTTATATCGTTTATACCGTTTTGGAAACTTTATTATTTTTACCTTCTTTTTTCCACCGATGTTTGTCGGCCATTTCGGGTTTTTTTAATGCTTTATTATTTTCGTATCTTCCGGTGCATGTCAGTCGGTAAGATGAAGATGGACCGAATGGTAATTATTGTGTTAATTATTAATTATGTTAATGTTTATATGTGGGTTTAAGAGGTAGGCTTCATAGGCAATTTGAATGAAGTGAAAATTTATTGTATAGGGAAAAGAACACTCAGTTTTCAGACAAACAACAATCAGCTCAAGAGCATATCTTTCATATATACATATATATATATATTGTCATTATATATCGCTAAAATTTTTTAATCCTTTTGTAGTAAAATATTACTTTTTTAATGGAGTGATTAGTGATTAATTCGCCGATTTTATTTTTTTATTAAATTATTAACTTTTTCATTTGATTCAAAAGATTTATCTCAGTTTAGAAAAAAATCTTTTTCCAAAAGAAAACAAGAAAGAAAAGAACTATTATTTTAAATGAAATTATTAGTTCTTTAGTTTATTTTGTTTGTATTATTATATAAATTAGTTAATGAAGTTTGTTTTCATTTCATTTATTTTTTTGGTGCTTTGAAAGATTTCTCATTTTATTTAATTTTTTTGCAGGATATTTTGTATATAAAAAATTGCTAGCACATTTATTTATATGCTTTTCAGTTGAGCTTGTAATATACTAATTTAACATATTTTGCACAAATCGCTTAATTATAGTGCGAAAAAATAATTTGTTTTTATTTTCGTGTGGGTTTTTAAAGTTCGTTCAGTTTTCAAAAATAAAAAATTGAATGGAATTTGTACGAAATTTAATAAATATTACGAAATAGAACACATTTTGGGGACACAAAGAATTGAGACGAAGAATGAGAGCTGAGGTCGATAGGATTGCAGTTTTTTCACTTTTTTCTTTAATTTAGTGGACAAATTGGCAAATTGGTTAAATAATATTAAGTTGCTTGAATTATTGCTCACTATCCTTGTGAAAATTCTTATCAGTTTTTGTTTAATTTTATCATTTATCTCGTTTCCATGAATTTTCATCCCATGAAATACGGTTATCTGAGCAACGATAATTTCGAAGACGGTAAAAAAATTTAAGAAAAAATGAAAAAAAGAATTGAAGTGAGCTGCAGTGAGTCCATTTGCATTTGCTCGCATGCTGCTCACAGGATTGTCTAAAATCTGTCAATTCGTTTTATTAATCAACGAAACCATCGAGAAATTATGTTTGTTAAAGAATTTAGTAATTTTTCATAGTGATTTGTGGTTGTTGACCGATTAAGCCAGCAAATTCATCATAACAGTCTTCTCGCATTAAACTTATCAAACTGCGAAGATTTTCCGGATTTAATTACAGAACGAGTCGGTGCTACATTTTGACTCGGTTTTAAAATTGTTCATGGAATTATTTGTTAAGAGCTTAAATTTGTGCCAAGTTTGTTTCCAAGAATTTCATGACAAAGAAAATGGTACTAAAGTGAAAAGAATTAACAGATTGGTAATTGACTGATTATTTAATTAATTAATGGCATTGAAAATCCCTATCTTTTGCCAGATGGAGTTTCTATTTGAAGACAAAGAGAAGAGTATCGTACAGATTTATAGAAATACTCTTGTAAAAGATCAGAAACGTAACTGAAATAATAGCTTGAACAGTATACAACTCGTGCTGACACCATTAGGTGATTAGATGAAATATTGTACAAATATTTTTTTATGAGGAGTACTATATATCGCTAGATTTTGAAAATTATTAAGTGAAAGAATTAAAGCGTCGTGATGCGGTCAGTTGAGCTAGTCTGTTGCTTATGGGAATATTGAAGCGATCCATCGATGATGCTGGTTCCATATACTGCGATGATGAATCCTGTTGGATTCGTCGTTCGGGCACTGAGCGCATTCGCCGTTCATGTCGACTAATTTTATTTTGTGGTTTTTGTTCCATTTCTGATGTACTGCAGTCCGATGATTGCGACGAATATGTGAAGAACGAATTGAAACTTTGATCGTTTTTTCGTAAATATCTCAACTATAATTTTCACGTTATCGCAAAATTCATTTTTAATTTATAATGAATGATCCACAAACTGTTCTTTCACTCAGAAAAATCATTCTTTCAAATTCTATGTTTTTCACCAAATTTCAGAAGAAATTCGTAATATTCAGCAAACTCTCAAAGGTCTTTTCATTTCCATCATAAGCTAGAAACATGAAATAAATCCGTAAATATTCTAATAAATTTTTGAAATATTCCTGGATGAGATTTAAAGTAGATTAAATGGCGAGATTTAAAAAGATTCACCTGTTGATAGTATCCATCCCTGACATAACCAAACATTAACTCAGCTAGAGAAACCCAGGCAGCAATCGTCTCTGTCGGCTGAAAACTGCTCTTTATTTCCACATTTAACAAATGGCAATTTAAGTGATTTAATGAAGCATAAAAAGTATTTATATTTTCTCGGAAGCATTATTTGTTTTGGCTAATTTTTGTTGTGAATATATGTTGGAAGGATTTCTTGGGACGAAACAAAACATCTGAAAATTCAGTCTAAAAAATCCCTTGTGCATATCGAAAAAAAAGCAATAAGAATGCCAATAATATTCAAATCACTCCGTGGCCAAAACTGGTGGAGTGGTATAGTTCGCATCTTGCACCTGTCCTTGAAACCAGTCATTAAAAAATCCAAGTGGTAGCTGCGACTCAGTTGTTCTTCTATCGCCAAGTAACTTCCTAGCTTCCTAGCGAAAATTCCTAAAGCTAACGAAACTAACTAGAATTAGTAGCCAATTTAACCAAAAAAGATGACCGCTTACTATTAATTACCTTAATTTAATTTCAAATCTTAAATATTACAAAATGAAAAAACATTGCACTTTCATAAAATTTAGTTTTTCAGCTAAAAATAGTAAATATTATAGAAATATATAAAAATAATAGAAATAAGCAAATAAAGGGGCAAGTAATTCATGTTCAGTCCGAAAAAATAAAAAATATTTAAAAATTTATTTATTTAAATATTTAAAAATTTCTAAACCAATCCTAAATTAAATCGCTCCATTTAATTATTTCTTTTATTATTTGAAAAACTTTTAAATTTTTTTAAAATTTTGATAATAATCAACGATTCTTTCTGAATGAATTAGTATTTGATGCTCATCCCTGATTTCATTCCTGAAACTCATTATTTCATTGATTATCTATTAGTTAAATCTAAATTTATTAGTTTCAATGGAAGTAATCATCTACAAAAAATAAAAAAAATTCACTTTTTTATAGCCAAAAATTTTATGAAATATTTTGAAATATTATTTGTTCCTCACGATTCATGATAAGTAATAGCTCAGTTGATGTGAATTTGAAATACATCAATAATAACAATGTTAATAATAATGATTTTTAATTAAAATAATGCGATTTTGTTCATATTTTTTACAAACTATGCACATTTGAAGAAGGAAATTCATTTAGATTAATTAAATAAATAAATAAAATAATTCATTTATTTTTAGGAAACACTAATATTCGCACAAATTCGTAGATAAATTTTTTATTAAAATTAGTCAAAATTTTTTAAAATTAGAAATTACATAGGAATTCATGCATATTTCTGTGTCTATTAGGCATTTTAATCGATGGCGTCGGAAATGAGAAAATCCATGCAATTAAGGCTTTACAATAGTAGTTTAGAGATTTGCGGTCCGCCAATATATGAATTTGAGAGGTGGAAAAAAAACTTCTGGAAACTAGGGCAAATTTTCTGTTTATTTATTGCAAATTGTATAAAAGGGTGATCGAATGGTTTGATTATAATTGAATTTATCCCGAGCACCATGGATTCAATTTCATGCTCGACAGTGAACCTTTCCTTAAAAACTCCAGATGGTGCTGTACTTCAGTCATGGTTCTCGGCAAAAATTTCTGATCGCACTAACAATGGAGCTAGCATAGCCAGAAATGAGCGCCAACCACTGATAATGCTCACTGCGCTGGCTTATGGACCAGAGAAATTTTTGCTGGCCGATAGAAGTACATCACCCGGACTTTTGAAAGACGGCTTTTGACGGTTTTTGTCAGGACCATCATCGCTACTCCGAAATGAAATGAGAATAATAACCCAGTGAGTTTTTCTATTGCCGAGTGCTAACCACTAATTTTCTACTCGAGTAAAAACATTCTTTGACTCTTTCTAGTTTCATTATATTATCGAATTAATGATTAAATATTGTTGGAAATACATCGAAATTTTGAAGTTTTAAATAATTTAGTTTTAATAATTTAGTTTTAGTTTTTAAAAGAAATTTTATACATATTTTCGCTTAAATTATAAGCTTTTCTTTTCACAAAAATTCTTACTAAATACTATATTTGAAATCGCACTGATAACGTCCTCTAGTTTCAGCATTCTCGCCTATGTTTCTTCAAAGAGATGGGAAATTTTAGGAATTCTTAATTAATTCTATAAGACAGATTGGCTTTTCACGATACCACAAAAAAGAAGAGTAAATTCATATTTTTTGAAAATTCCCATTAAGCAGATTTCGATATACAACAATTCGGTCTTTCCTTTCCAGTTTTCTTCAGTTTTTCTTATTCAGTTTTTTTCAACAATGAATTACAATTAGAATTGATGAAAAACTACGTTTTTATTCTCGGAATAAATATTTTAAAATTCAAAATTATTATTTTTTAAAATCAAATGCAATGGATTTAAGTGAAATCTCTCACCAAATTCAATGTGGTTTTTGATCAACTTTTCACCGTTGAAAATTGTAGCATTCTCGAAAATGATTAAATGATCAATGAAAAAAGGAATAATGGCTTTAGTTAATTTCGGGCGCGGTACCGGTTGGAATCATATCATCCTAGTGACAATGGAACCAATCAAACCAGAAAGGTATTTAATATTTTCAATTCATTTGGCCAACTATTTAGAAATACTTTTAAGCAAATAAAGCAAATTCATTTTTAGCTATTTTTAAGGTTTAACCTGATGTATGGCTCCATCAAGAAAAACAAATTCAGTTATAAGAGCGTCAGCCATCACCGAAAAGTAATCAGCTTTAAATCCCCAACTTCGCCTTGGCACATAATCAATGCCAAATTGAACTGACAATTCTCGCACCTATTAAGCATATTTATCACAAATTTTATTAAAATTATGATAAAATCAAAATGCTTTCATCCGATTCAAGAATACTTGGCTCAGATAAGAAGCATGAACTCAATTATTTACCTCTTATTTATTTCTTATTTCTTAGCAAAATTGATAAATATAATAATTAATTAAATTAAATAAACAACTAATATTTTCGTTGATTAATAAATCATTTACCAGTTTTAATTTAATCTTTTGCGATCATAAATTTGACTTCTTTTGATTTCGCTCCGAATAAGAAATAAGAATGAATTTCAAATAAAAAATATTTCATAAATTCACGGTAAATTAATTTCTTCAGAATTTTTCCATCTAAAATAGATAAAAATCCATGAAACTGACTTACTTTTTCCGTATTATTAACACATCGGACAACATTCGTAATGAATTCTTTCAACGAATTTGTTAAATTAAACAGCTGTTCACCGTTGAGGCATTTGTAAAATTGTGCAAAATCATTTCGCTTATAAACCATACGTTTAAGAATTCGCGTTGCTATATCAGCGCGTGCATTTTCCATGCAAAATGATATAATTGCCTAAAATATTTATAAAATAATGGAATAAATATTTTCGATTTTATGGAAGTTTCTATCGTTCTTTTTTTTAAATTTCTAGAATGAATAGTAATTTAATTTTGCTTAAGTGAATAAATATGGTGAAATATTTTATTTACAGAGCACTTACCACTGCTGGTTGGAGTCGCTCCGCTGGCTTGTCGGATTAGACAAATATGCCAGGGAGTCCCTCGGCGACTGATGAATCGCCATATTTTATATCTTTTTTACTTCTTAGAAATCATTTTTCTATAGACTATTCGATTCATTGTTCCTTATATTCGGAACCAATTTAATTTATCAATGTGAATGCTCTTATCATTTATTCGCTTCTTTGTCTTCTAACAGCCAGTTGAACCCATTCGCTGTGGAGATTCTTATTCTTTATTTCAATTTATCTCTTTTTTTTAAAAATCATTATATATGCTATTGATTGACCGTAGCAACTAAGCATATAAATTTATATTCACTTCTGGCTTCATTATAAGTCTCATAATAATTATTATTAATGATATTATCACCATTATTATTTTCATAATTACTTATAATTACTTATTATAATTATTATTTCTTGCTTATCTTTTTTTTTTAAATAAGCAAGCAAAAAGATAAAATTGTTTGCTTGTTTAGTGTTAAAAACAAAAGATAAGTTGAATAGCAAAAATAAACTGCAAGCAACAATATATAGTATAGAATAGTACAATATAGAATTTTCGTGAAAATTCGTGATATCTACAGAAATGGATGAAGGAATGAGAAGGAATGAGAATAGCGTGCAGAGCATTGCTCAATTTCCGATCGACAATCCGTACCTTTTTGAGGAAATGAGTTTTTGTGTTGTGATTTTATCATCCCATGCTTTATCACCCCGCAATCGCGGCTAATAAAAACTTTTTCCCTCTATGTTTAAGGAAAACTTCTCGAAGAAAGTGCAACAACCATTTTCCCTTCATGCTTTATTTTATCATCCATTACCATTATATCGCCACATCTCCGCTGACCAATTTTCGTTTATAGAAAATAGCGATAAAAGACAATAAATCTACTTTCTTTTATAAATTACAATGCTTTGCCAAAATAGTCCAACACTGAGAACGAAATTATCACAAATATCTCAAGCAAGTCATATTTTTTAAAATTGCAATTAGGAGTGATTTTGAGATTAACTTTACATCTTCGGAATTTATCATAAGTAATAAGTAAAATATCACCTTAATTTATGAATCTAAAGCAAATCTTTTTTTCCTAAATTTTACTTAAGAAAATAGGATTATTGATTTCTTGTTCCTAGGAGCGTTTATTATTTCTTTTTAGGTTGGCCCCCTGGCTTGTCGAACCATGACAAATTTTGCCAAGGAGTCAACAGAAGCTTAAACGAGACGACAAAACGACAACAGCTCCCAGCTCCTTTTTGATTTATTCCTGCGGAAAGCAAAACACCATCATCAGCTTTCCGCAAAAACTTAGTGAGCTTCTATTCCTTGGTCTATTATTTTATGCTTCGCATTAAGTTATTATAGATTCGATTCCTGTCCTTTCACAAAAAAATTATTTAAAGCCTGGGATACTGGAAACCCATTTGCACTGGTGTACTAAGTGATGAGAAGAGGCCATTTTTTTCTAAAATGAATTAGCCAACCAAGTTCTGAATGCTTCCAGAAAGAAAAGGAAGTATCATTTGAAATAATCCCAACAAGATATCTTTTCTTGTCTCTTCAAAACTCGTTCATTGCTTTAATTTATTTTTCGCTGAATATTTCAATTGTTTTTTGGAAATATAAGTTAATTACAGCTGAAAATTCCAAATCGAGTTTTCAGAAGAACGGATTGCCGAAATATATAACTAAATACCTGAGCTGAACAAGTGATTGATTCATTCTTGTCGGATTTGGTACCAATTGAATTCTTTTTTCCGCGTTTTGGTGATGGTGTCTGCCTTATTTTAAGTTGACTGATAGCAGTTGGCAACGATGAATCGTTATTATTTTTTAACGTTTCTCTTAACGAATTTCTTAGTTTTGTTGTTAATTCCGTTGGTCGTGGTGATGCATCGTTACTAGTTGCGTGAAATATTTCGCATATTCCTTTCATTTAACGATAGATTGAAGAAAATAAACCACTGCAAGCAAAATGCAATATTTTGTGAAAATAGATAAATATAGGGAATCGAATATATACGTGTTATGAAGCTTTTTTTATAGAGCACCAGAAAAAAATTGTTGAAATCGCAAAAAAGCCGGCTAAGTAGCATATTCGTTTGATAAGAGCAAGCTACTCGCTAAAAATGAAGCCGAGGCACCTAATTTGCCTCCATCTCTGAATGACTATTTCTGAAAAGTTTCAGTGGACTCCACTGGAGTTGACTAACCAAAAAATGGAACCTAGTTTTGATTATTAGAATGAAAAGAGACGAACTAGAGAGCAATAAATGACGAACTAATTTGCAAACTTGTTTGAAAACCTTTCTCACTAAAATTTTTAAATAGAAGTTTTCAAAAAAAGAACCTTTACAAGAACCTTACAAGACCAAAAAAAAATTTAAGTAAATTAAAAATTGGAGATAAAAAGAAATTATTGGTTTTTCAATGTGACAAGCACTCAAACCCATATGATTTACTATACTCGTTTTTTTATTAATTTATTTCTCAGTGAATTTTGGGTGACAAGCCAATTCAAATAATGAAATTCGAGGCGAATAAGCTCAACTCTACTTGAAAATAAAAGTCATATTGGCACTGACTATTTTCTGCAAATCGTCGTCCAAGTTAAATGGCAGTGGGTTTATAAGACTGAAATCGTTTTTTCTTATAATAAACATCTGACTGATCCAGGAATCTTTCTTTCGCTATCTATTTAATAATTTCGTAAAGCATTAAAGATTAGATGAGAATTAAAAATGAAATCACTGAAAAGTAAGGAATTTTAATTTCTAAAATTTTTTAATTAAATAATTTGAATTTGATTAGAGATAACATCTGAACTGTTTTCATTCACCGTTCAATGCGAAATCCACCGTTTGCCCGATAAAAAGTTCCACTTTATCTGGTAAGTAAAAAGGAAACCGAGAATCCATGAATGAAGCCAAATATCCATTATTTATCCATTATTTGAATAGATAGATAGATGAATGTATGGATAGAGGAATGATTGAATGAATGAATGAATCAATTAAGATATTATTATAAGAACTAATAATTCACTCATATGACAATCACAAAATTAAAATTCCAAATTTACATTCAAATAAACATTAAAAAGCTTTAGCTAATAATTAATAATTTAGCTAATTTTGAATATTTCACATTTAAAATTCAGATTTAGTTCAAACGTTAAAATTTTATACTTAAGCAGGTTTATATGAATGAATGAAAACATCTCTTCTCCTTTTTTCCATAAGCACAAATTTTTGGTTCACAAGCTACTGCGCTGAGGTCATTTCGCCATAAAGAATAGAAATGCTGGTAGATTCCGAGCACGACATAAATTTCACTTTTCAATGGACTTGAATCGCAACTTGTACCTTTAACTGGAACGACAACCTACTCGACTTCACCACTTCGCTAGTATATTTTATGCATAGATATGCAGTGGCCAAATTTAATTTCATTTCCATTTAAATTATAGATTGTTGTGTAATTTTTCGGGCAATTTTTCGTATAGCATTTGAATTAAAAAACTAAAATCTTAATTTTTTTAAAAATGATTTTAATAAATCAGTTGTAAAGCTAAAAATATGAATAAATTTATGAAAATAATTTTGTTCAAACAGCTAATTTAATTCGATTTGTAGCATATAACTCGATGATAACTGAATTTTGATTAAACCATTTATTCAGTTTGTCTAATTCATATTTCGTCATTTTCCACCGCAATTTTTAGAGCATCGAAAGATTAATTTAAAAATTTAAGTTAATCTAATTCATTTATATCGTAACGATTTATGTAAATGTTTGAATGATAAATGGATAAGATTGGCAGCACAGCGACCATCCGAATTTCACGTTCAATGGCAGATTTACTCCTATTAATCAACGAAGAACTCTCCTTGAGTTACTGCTGTATATGCCTTATAGAACAAATATAGCGAGGAAGATGACTGAAGAGTTATTTTCACAACAGTTTCTCCGCATGCATCATTTCCACATAAGTCACATTTCAATCGAATTAAATCGTTGTCTATTATATGGAAAATCAACAATATCGCATTAAACAATCTGATAAAACAACCTGATAAAGTACTATACCAGTTAAAAATTTTAGTGCAGTAAAAAAACGTGCCAGCATAAAATAACCAAAAAGGTGAGCCGCCAACACCACCCGAGTTTTTCAATGACAGGTTCGTTTTTCAATGACAGACAGATTCTGTCGAAGGCAAGTTTCGAGCTTTTTGAACCTCTGACTGCCTTAACGGTAATCTAAGTGTCGACTACTCGACTATTCTGCCATCATTTAAATAGATTGTTCCTTAACCTTATATTTTCATAAGTTTAGAAATTTTTTAATATTATTAATGATTATTGGAGTGAAGAAATGTTCACAATTATTAAATGGTTTAAATGGTTTAAAGCATTCTTATAAAAATAATTTTTTAAAAATAATTCGCATTTAATAAAACATTTTCCTTTGAAAAAAAGAAAAAAATTTGTTCTAAACAAATGAATAATAAAAGTCAACTGAATGTCGTGAGATTTTGCAATTTTTTGTAAACATCAATAATAAAATCCTATAAGATAATGGAATAAAAATTTATTATCAATTTAAATCTTATTGGCAAATGATGAATGACTGATAAGTTATTGACAAGTTATTACAAAGTGGAAAAATTGATGATACAGATCATAATGAGATTCGAGATTCGATCAAAAAAATCGTCATAGGTTCGGTTTCAGCCCCTAGTCGGAAATAAACCTGTCACTGCAAATGAAATCAGGATGAATGACAACATCCCACCTGCTTATTTATATTTCCTCAGGAGTATTTATTAAGGCCAACTGAAGCAGAAATGATGTACATTATTGGAAGATGCGATTACTCAACAAAATAGAAGGCTTAACCAGCTGCATATGGCAATTTGTTGAATGTTTCGCCAATTTTTTTCGAATATTTCAATTAATTAATATGCATGATGAATGATTTATCTGAACTTATTTCACATCCTACATGGTCTGCGATATTTAATTTTTTATGTGTAATGTTTATTGAATGTTAAACTTTTAATAGAAAAATAAGAGAGGAAAAGCAAAGAAATTAGCCGATAAATTTGCTATGAACTTTCCTAAATATATATTTATTACATAGCAATTAATTTTCCCGAATATATTACATAGCAATTAATTTTTGAAAAAACTGATATGAATGAGAATTTTTATAAATTTAGCACAATTTCATAATTTTTTTGTATTTATAATGATTAATAAAATGGGAAATAAATTATAAGTGAAAGTTTAATGTGATAGCGGAATAAAATAGAACTTGGGAAATGAGGGAAATGGAGTAGCTCTGGAAGAGATTAAGCGGACAGGGGAAGATATTTAACGGAGACGGGAAATAGCCGATAAATTTGCTATGAACCTTGACAAAACACGAGAATTTAAGATAAGAACATGGAAAAATTCAGCGGATCAGCGTGTGCTTTCCTTTCTAAAAGTTCTCATCACTGCTGATTAGAGGTTTCCTACTGGTTCGTCGGATCAGAAAAATTTTCCCAGACTCGCTTGGCATCAAAAATATGCTCTCGCCAATATCGCCGGTTGCTGCCAGATCTCAGTATCCCTTTTTCCAATGACAATGCTGAAACATGGTATGACGGCATGTGATTGTCTGTTCCCAGTGATATTCATCTTGCCACCCAGCCATCGACGTGCTACTATGCATTATGCATTTCTACCAAAATAATAAATTACTTTTTTCTTCGTTATAAATTTGTATGATACTCGATTTTTCGGACAAATATATTTCTTCTTTTAAAAATAATAAAACTGCCGATAAAAGAAAAATCTTTTTCCAGCATAAAGTGATTTTCGAGAGAAACTCCTTAATAAACAATGAAATTAACCAAGTGAAAAATCCTGTGTGACGAAGAATATTTAATTTAACAAACTCGGCAAATCTGGCATAGGATTCTGGAATTACGCCGCTCAATAAGGTAAAATTATATTTTATGCTTGTGCTTTATGTTTAGCCATAAAAGATATGTTTGAGCATAAAATGGCGTTAGTATACTATTTAAGGAAAAACTTTGCCTTGTTTTTCCCACATAAACTCTTAAATATTAAATCACTCGCCGAAATTTGATCGAACATACCAGTTGAATGTCATTCATTTGTATAAAACTAATAAAATTTCAAACATTTCTTCATAAAATTATTAATAATGCTAATTAGTAAGAAAAAAATAAGAAAAATGTTATGAGAAAATAAATAAAATATTAAGTAAAAAATGAAACAAAACACTGTCGAAGTAAAATAGCGGTTGAAAAGAGAAAAATAAAAGAAGAAATAATTTGAGGCAAATAAATATTAAATTACTATTCGTTAGCAGATTTCCTAATAAGGAAACGTTTTATTCGCCGTCAATTTCCATGTAAATATCCGATACATCTATTTTATTAAATTTATCCAACCAACAATTAAAATAGCTTAGTTACGGGAAAACATGTCAATTATATTAATTGCTTTTTACATTATATTTTCACTATTATAATTAATATTTTTGATTAATAAGTGCCTTTTCGCATCAATAACACAAGTATTTTTGGCAATAATAGTTTATTTCGATATAATAAATGTGCAGACTTCTTGGTTGAATGGTACTTTGCTCCGATCGAACTCAAACATGAGTTCAAGAAAATAAAAGCTTTGCGATTGAAGATGAGATGCAGGTGTAGCCGAGGATCTTCATACACAAGCCAATAGCAAAGTAGACGCTTTGGCAAAAAGAGCAATAATTGTTTATTTCGTCCTCGCAATCAGTAGAATCAATCAAATCAGAAATTATGGGAGACGAAGAAGTTTCTGAAGTAAGCCTATTAGAATTTTTTACTTGAATCTTATAAATCTGTAAAATTTGTTTTTTTGGCTCAAAAATTGACG